CCTTAAACCCTTATACCTTTAGACGCTTAAGCCCTAAGCCCTGAACCCTGAACCCTGAACCCTAAACCCTAAACCCTAAACCCAGCCTAACCCTTAAACCCTGAACCTTCAAACCCAGACCCACCAGTCCCCAAAAGTCCGTCCCCCAACGAAAGGCCCCGAGCCCAGATATCCAAGAATCCAAAGCTCATATGAAACAGTTTATTTTTTATATACTGTTGTTGGTGAGTGTATATAAGGTTCCTTGTTAATATTGTGAGTGAAGATACTTGGTGTCCTTTTGGGGTTGCAAGGAATATGAACCCCACTTCAAATCCTAAACTTGTACCCTTCACGGGGTTCCTTGCATGTGCTCCGGAAATGGCTCCCCTAGAAACGGCGAAGAGCCCAGTGGCATAGCCTTACGGGGTTAATCCCTCAACCCTAAACCCTGAACCCCAAACCCCAAACCCCAAACCCTAAACCCCAAACCCCAAACCCCAAACCCCAACCCTAAACCCCAAACCCTAAACCCTCACCCCGAAACAATCCCAAGGCCGCCCCAAAATCCACCTGCAAGATCCCCACGCCTTCAGGAGGCCTTGTCGTGGCTGCGGTCGCATGGTTGGCGGGCGGTGGTGCCACTCGACAGCGCAGCCCACGACCCCTTAGGGTTTAGGCTTTAGGGTTTAGGGTTTGGGGTTTAGGGTTTAGGGTTTAGGGAGAGCTTACGACCCCCTGAGTTCACAGGAGCCCACGGGGTTTAGGGTTTGGGGTTTAGGGTTTAGGGTTTAGGGTTGAGGCATGCTTGGCGCATTTTGGCGCCGTTGTTGATCATAGAAGCCCAATACGGGAAGAAGGGGCCATCAATCTATAGTTACATGTCCCCTTGATACGGTCCCTTACGTTCATAAAAAGGGTTCTGAGTTCTGAAGTATGGGCCCTCGGGTTTTGACGGGGTCTATCAGGGTTTTTCGATTGAGCACACCAGGCTCAACAGTCGACGCCCGGAGCTTTCAGGACCCTAGGGCCTATCAACCCATGGCTGCCCAACCCGGAGGCCCTGCCCCAAATTCGGGGTTTCGGGTTGAGGGTTTAGGGGTTGAGGGGTTGAGTGGAGGGTCTAGGGGTCTAGGGTTTGCCAAGCCCTAAGCCAGTACGCCCGGGCAAGGATTGCGGATTTAGGTTGTGGGACACGAGGTCACGGGTCACAGGTGGTTCCACCAAGAGACGACGCGGGGGGAAGAGGGGGGGGGAGCCCATCCACAACGCCGCCAATCCTCCACCTCTTGTTCCCTGATTCTGCGTCCTGTCAGCAGTCCTCAACTCCCCTCAACCCGAACCCTTCAGCTTCAAAACCCCTTTAAAATGCACATGTAAATGCCACTGTGGGTTTGGTTGGGGCTGAGGGGTTCCCTCTCCTTAGTTTGCACATGGGCCTCGGGCGCCCAGGATACCGCAGATCAACCATCCCAGCTACGTCTCCGAAGTTCGGGCAGAGCTTGCTGCCACAGGACGCAAGCTTTTCACGGTTGATGGAGCCCTAAACCCTGAACCCTGAACCCTGAACCCTGAACCCTGAACCCTAAACCCTAAACCCTAAGCCCTAAGCCCTAAACCCTAAACCCTATAAACCCTAAACCCTAAACCCTAAACCCTAAACCCTAACCGCAAGCCCGGAGCGGACCTAAGAAGGTTCTCCCTGGAGCCTAGGGAAGCCTGCCTGCCTCACTCTAAAGCTCTAAAGCCTAAGCCCCTAGCACCCTAACACCCCAACACCCTAAACCCTCAGTCCTTTTTTTGGGGGGGCCAACGGGGGGGGGCGGGGGGGGGGGGGGGGTTAAGGTTCCCTTATAAACCCTTTTAAGCAACAAGGGCACCCCTAGGATCCTGGGCAGCCTATAGAAGGTCAATTATAAGCCTTTTAGGGGGCAGGGCTGGTTTGCAGTATCTTGGGGCCCGAAACCCGAAAATTGAGATAGATGCCTTCTTGATTTCTAAGGCAGAAGCCGTTAGAATTGAAAATGTCCTTAGGGACTCTTTGAGGGTTTCCAGGAGTTCTGATTGAACGTCAGTCGGAGTGGACTGAAACCCCAAACCCGAAACTCATGACCCTAAACAGCCCCGAAAACTCTAAACCCACGGCCCAAAGCCCTAAATAGCCCAGAAATTCAAAGCCCTAAGCCTGCAATCGGCCTGACCCCCGGCAGGATTCAACAAGCTGCACTTGTGGAATCTCACGGACTACAGCCGATGCTGTGCAGCGCTCGTTAGGGTTGAGAGTTGAGGGCTACGGGCTTAGGGTTTAGGGTTTAGGGCTTGGAGTTCAAGGTTTAGGGTTTAGGGCTGAAATTGTTTAGGGTTTCAGGTTCAGGGCTTAAGGTTTTTTGGAGCTGTAGTGAGTTATTAAAGTTATGGCTATTTTGTTAGACAGGTCTTTCTTGGCATCGGCGTTCGGCTGTAGTAGTCTCATCAAGACTTTTCAGCTTTTCGCGAACATGTTCAAAAACCCATCAATCACACACAACTTGGAATGTTGTTCGAAGGGCGCGGGGCCTTGTTGACCCTAAACCCGAAACCCTAAACCGAACCCTAAACCCTAAGTCCCTAAACCCTCCCCTTTCAAGGGTTAGCTATAGGGGGGCTATAAGGCACTCACTTTGTAGTCAAGAACTCGTACTTTCAGGCCTTCCAAGACCTTCTAGCAGCCCGCTGCCTCTCAAACGAAGCCCCCCTCAGCGGATCTTTAGGGTATCTAGTGTGCGGATCTCGGAACCCAGACCCTAAACCCTAAACCCTAAACCCTAAACCCTAAACGCCTACTTCATGTCGTAGTCGTTCCCCACCGATGCCTTTGCAATCTGCGCATGCCCGGACCCAAGGAGTTATCTACCTGGCCGCTGGGCGTGCAGAGCTCTTTAGGGATTAGGGTTTGGGGCCCAGGGTTCGGGTTTAGGGTTTAGGGTTTAGGGTTTAGGGTTTAGGGTTTAGGGTTTAGGGTGTAGGGTTTAGGGTTTAGGGTTTAGGGTTTAGGGGAGCACCCCGGGACAGAATACAAAATGATACTAAATTAAAGACACGGGCGTACATTATTCTCTTATTATATGCCCATGTGTGAGCACAATATGAAAAGAAAAGAGAATTATATAGAGATTTATGCTAGTAATGTTTTGACAGGAAAACTCAACATTAATACTACTGCTGCTCGGGGCTAATATTATTATTCTCTTACGCCCCGGAATAATTATATTCGAAAGTAGTATTGTCAAAAGTGAGAACGAAGTGAGCACATTCACTCGCTTATTCACTCACTCCGCTCTCTTCACACACCCTTCATAATATGAATACTGTGAAGAGAACGCGTAGATGCATGACGTACAAGTTTGTCACTTTCTGCGACGTTTGGCAAGACCAGGTTGCCAGAGCTGTAAACTGAGTAGCTGAGTGAGTACACTGTACACTTTTTGGGGATACTATAGTTAATCCCATATAGACCTGAACGTGTAAACTTTTTGGGGGGCCTCTGAACTCTGCAACTAAGTTAAGCGATTCGGGTTTCAAGGGTTCGACGAAGGATGCCGATGCATTCGCGCTCCGCGACGTGAGCTGGATTTGGGACGCCAAATACTGGCGGTGCCTCGGCTTGGCTGTTTGAGCTGCTGATCACCTGAAAACCCTACACCACTTGGGTTTTTTTCACAAGAGCCTTCGCAGAATATGTTTGGGTGTAGGGGTTCGCGGGAACTTGACACTGGGCTTTTTGAGTTTGAGTACCCGCAGTGAGGTTCTGACCAGGAAAAGTTCCCCGTTGTGGAAACCCTACTTGCAAGCACCCATGCGCCTCCAAGGTTACAGGAATCACTAGAACGTCCAATACTACCCTAGGCTTTAGGTTGGTAGGGCCCCATAGAGGCACAACCATGAACACAAGCCTGTGAGCTTTAAACCCGAAACCCTAAACCCTAAATCCTTATAAACCCTAAACCCTAAATCCTAAACCCTAAACCCTAAGTGTAGTCCTGCAAGATAGGGCGTGAACATCGCTCTCCTCCTCAAGCCACCCGGCACCATAGATTAGGGCTTAGGTTGGGATGTTCCCCCTGACACTAACAGTCCTTAGTAGGGGTTATAATCGTAAGGGGGAACATCCCAAGGTTTGGGCTGTAAAGGCCCAGGTAAGAAATGTACTCCGAGACCATGCCGACATGGTTGCATACATTCTAGCACATCCCCCCCCCCCCCCCGCCAAACGAACCTGAACCAGCAGCACAAAATGTGCTTCTCTCTAAAGAATTGCCCTTGTTGAATTTCAATCTTTATGCGGAATCTGGCATAGTATTGGGGTGCCCGGTGGAAATCCTAAACCCTTAGGACCCCAATGTTGCGCTGGCGCAGTAATAGGATACCCGGTGGAAATCCTAAACCCTAAGCCCTAAACCTTAAACCCTAAACCCTAGGGACCCTAAACCCTAAACCCTAAACCCTAGGGACCCCAACCTGTGGAGAGCTGCCCTGCAGGCATCCCCTGAACAGCGTGGCGGAGCTTGGTGGGCAAATGAAGGCCCAATGAGGGCTCCCTAAACCCTAAACCCTAAACCCTAAAACCTAAACCACTTCGTGGTACCTGGGCTTCTTTGTATGTATATATATATATATAGATAGATAGATACACATAAATAAATATAAATATATATATATATATGTAACCTCGAACCTATATGCTTCTTTATACATATATATATATATGTGTATATATACATATATATATATATATATATGTATGTATGTATGTATGTATGTATGTACATAGATGTATTTATATATATATATATGTATATATATATACAGATCTGAAGCTAAGAATTCCCAACCCTAAACCTCCCAACCTCATGATCAGAAACACTCCGAAAAATCGGGTGCCGCCCAAGAGCCACTTGTGTACAACTTGTACGACACATCGAGAGTCCTTGTTCAACACTAGCCAAATACGCCTCAAACCCTTCAGTTTTCGCTGATCCCACATGGTCCGAAGCCCAGCAAGCATGGCTGCCATCGATCGGGAGTTGGCGGCGCAATTTGGCCCTCGCACGTTCATTTGGAACAGAAGGCTGTGCTCGGGGTGGAGTTGCAAGTTCTAGGTCTGCGTTTCTGAGTTTACATATGCATTTTCGATGTATGCAGTTTTCTGTTTGCGAGTAGCCGTTTCTTAGAGTCTTGGCCACGAGGAGGTGCTACGGTACCCAGTTTCATTTGGATGTCCTGAACGGCAAGGATGAAGACGCCATTCGACAACTTGAGCAAGCTTCTGCTGTGGTGGACGGTGCCTTCGCCTATGTTACTTATTTTGACAATGGACGGCAGATCTGTACCGGCCAAGCCATTCATCTAGCAGCAAGCCGCGGCCACCTGTCGACGGTGAAAGTACTCCTGGAGAAGCGCGCCGACCTCCATAGCATGATCACGAAGGATGGTATCCAGACTGTTCTTGGCCTTGTGCTTGTGTTTTTGTTGGTGCTATTGAAAAGGCGCCATAAACAAAATTGGTTCAACTATAAGGTAGAGACCACTCTGATGTGATGCACGCGGCCGTGTTCCGAGAGAGGCGTGGAGGCTCCGGCGAGATGATTGGCTACCTTTGCAGCCAAGGTGCAAACATTCAGAGTCAGAACTCCTTGGGGCTGTCATGCTTGCATATGGCGTTCAGTACAGGGAATGTTGAGACGATACGAGCTGTCCAGCAGGCCTTGAAAGGTCACCAGGGTTGGCGCACTGAGGATGACGGTGGCCTCAGCTTGCGTGGGGAGACCGCGTTGGAGTTCGGAATCAGAGGTGGCAAGTGCAGTGTCCAGACCTTGGCAGAGTTGGCTCCAATCACTGGCAGCAGTCTCCGGTCTTTCATACATCATGCCCCCGAGTGCATCCCGCTGTTCCTGAGCTACGCCTTTGCGAGTCACCAGGATGGCCAGCGCGTGGAGCAGCTCCTGGCGCAAGAGCTAACCTCCAAAGACATGGCGCAGCTTTTGCGCCTCAATCCTGAAGTTGCAGTAGTGTTGCTGCACCTCTTTACAGCCGCACCGGAGACCATGGGCGAGGAACTTGCTGGAGATGAGGGTTGGCATCCGCTTCCAAAGAGAGTTTCCTTCGGGAGTCGGGTTGTGAGCCTCCTTGGCCTTTTCGGTTTGCAAGCATCATGGTTTCATCGCATTCGGTGTTTCTACGAAGCAGACACGGTTTGGCGTTTCGATGCCGAGACTCACACAGCCCCCGACTGGCATCGCAAAGTTACGGATCTCAGAACACCCCCCATGCTGGAGGCTTGCATCCGGGTCTGCTATGCACCTTGGCAGCCCAGTGGTATCCTTTTTTATTTTTGTTGGTTCACGGTTCCCTCATCAAGTAAGCAACCCCTAAAAGGCTACCCTTACTTTGATATGGTGACTGGGCTACCAAGGTACCGAACCTTATCTCGGTTGACATCTTCCGAGCCCTCTCCTTTCACACTGGGTTCCACACTCAAGACGCCCCTGCTGAAAGCATCTTCGGCTCAATCCCCATACGCGCTGCAGTGTCCTACACTTTCTGGAAGGGAGCTCTCTGGGTAGAGACTTTGCAGTGGCTGATTTCTTTGTGGGGGCTCGGGCTTCTAGTTCTGCAGGCTTCGTCCGGACATGAGCTGTCTATGGGAAGTGACCGCATGCATGGTCATTTGCAACACACCAATCAAGTTGTCGCGGACTGGATCATCGCCAGAGGATGCGTGGATCTGTTTTTGGAGCTGGCCCAGCTCTGGGGGTGTGTTCGCACGCAGCACTTGTCAGTCTACTTTACTTTTGGTAACTTCTGGGACCTCGTGCGCAGCATGCTTCCAACAATGCTGCTTCTTCACCATCAGCCGTACCGCCTGCTGCAGCTTCTCATCGTGCTGATCTACTGGATGCGGCTGTGGGAGTTCTCGATTTTGTCGGACGAATATGGGCCATCTCTCCTCCCCATTCAGCAGCTTTTGAGCCGCTGCAGCATAGTTACTGCGTTTTCTTGGCTTGGTCGGTTGTAGGTACGCCGGGTCGCTATTGGGGTTACATCCACACAAGCCAGCGCAGGAGCGGCCTTTCTCCGGCTCTAATGTTCACTGTCGTATGCTTTGCTGCATTGACGCATGCAATGCATACGGTTCAGGCCAACCCTGGCGGCCTGTGGTCGGAAACTGTTTATCATGCTTTCACCACGCTTATCGCGCAAGGTTTGCCTGAGCAGCCTCCAGCTGACCGGCTGGAGCTCATGCTGTTGTATGGAGGTGTTCTTTTCTTTTCTGTCTTCGTCCTGAACATCTTCATCGGCATCATCGGGGAACAGTATTCGAGTGAAAGGGCTTTGGCTACTCACAAGTTCTATGCCGCGAGGGCCTCCTCATGCTTGACATACTTGGTGCGAGCTTCAGTGATTCCCTGTGACCTTTGCAGCTCGGTCGTGGCTGGCCTGCTGTGTCATGGGTGTGCTTTCGCTGCGTTGCTTGCGCAGATACTGGCGCTCGCATATGGATGGAAGTTGCCTGAACCGTGGCAGCTGTTGGCTTTTGTGTTCTGTCAGATGACGATGGTCATCTCTGCCTTCCAATGCCGTGGATCGGACTCTTAGGGCCGGGGTGGTTAGATTTTGCCCTTTTTTGGGTATAACATATATATATATATATGTGTATGTATATATACCCGCCCTAAACCCTAAACCGTCAACCCTAAGGGAATTACCCCTTTAAGGACCTACCATGGGCCACGTCACCAGAGACCGAGTGCTACTCTTCGCTTGCCCCGTCTCCTCGAGGAAGATGCTCCCCGCATTCCAGGTGGGCAGCTCTCGAAACTTCGGGTCCCTTTTGGTTATGTATATATACAATATTATTATATTATATTATGTAATCTAATATAATATTATTATATTATATGATATAATATAGTATTATATTATATTATAATTATAATTATACATTATATATATATATATATATATATATATGGCTCTGTATCCTACGAATGGAAGCTGTCAAAGGGCTACAGTGTAGAGATCTGAGGTACCTGTGGATCATCGAGCCCCGCCAGGACTTTGAGGCTCGAAACTCACTGGGGGCTCTGTCGGGTTCTCGCCATGAGCCCTTGCGAAGCTTCTCGCGTTCCTTGGACAGGGGTTTAGGGTTTAGGGTAGGATTTTGTCAGAAGTCTTTGGTTCTTGGTTTGTGGCTTTCGAATGGTCAAGCCTTGCCCCTCTCAGGCCCTTCATGATGAGCTGCGCGATAGCTTGTTACACAGCCCAACACCCCCTACATCTGCTAAACCCTCCGGGGCGTAAACCCAAACCCTTTGAACCGTAAACCCTGTAAGGCTGGGACTCGGCGGCAGCACAGGCAGACGCGCAAGGCCAGGTCAGTTCGACGGAGTGCAGGCAGCTGATGACGATGCTGCGTGAAGTCTTGGACGAGCTAAAGGAGCCTTTCGCGCAGGTTAAGTTCTCTCCCGTCCCCCACAGCAGGCCTTACCTCCACCCTTCCCCTCCCGCCTTCCTTCCCCCCCCCCCCCTCCCCTCCCGGTATACTCTTTGGAGTTTGGGCGCAGAAGGTTAAGCCAAAAGCAAAGGTTTCCAAGGTCCACGATAGAAGCCCGAGGTGTTAGTTGTTGAGCTTGCCCTGTGCTAGGGCAGTATATTGCAGGAAGAAGCCTGCATAATGTTAAATCCTGTTCTAGGCCCGAAACCCTAACCGAAACCTTATGTCAAAGACACGGGCTAGATTCCAACGGCTTTGCTGAAGGAGCCCCTAAACCCAAAACTCCAAAGCCCTGCATCTCAATCCCCTCCTTTGCGCCCGTGCCCGGAACCACAAACTTCAGGTTCCAAGAGAGTATAGAAATCCCCAGCCAGCCACCCGCCCCAGACCAGATCCAATCCCAAACCCAAATAAACCCGATATTCTAGGCCCAACGTTTGCCAAACGCCTTCACAAACCCCTACACCCCCGGGCCCTAAACCCCAAGCCCCTAGACCCCTAAACCCCCTCCTCCACGGTCCTTGAGGAGCTGAAAGCGAAGGATGTCCCAAGGTTGCACAGTTTGGAGGTGGGGTGTCAAAAATGGGCTCATGGTTTAGGGGTTAGGGTTTAGGGTCGGGGTTTACTCAGTAACCCCGACTCCAAACCCTGAGGCAGCCGTCGAGGCAGCTGTGAGGCCGACACTTCTGACCTCCCTGTGCGGATCGGGGTCTGGGGTCTCACGCAGCACAAAGCTGCCAGGGAGCCCCATACGTCTTCGTTAAGAGGCCCTACTTGGGGGACCTTTTTGGGGGCCTCATGAGAAAGGACTCCTACTAGATTCGGGGTCCCTTATTTTCGTAAACTCCCACTTGGAGGTTCACGAGTACTTCTGAGTAGGGTTGCAAGCACCTTAAATAAGGTTCTAGCTATACTCGCCCTCCTTATAACTCTACATAAACGTACCCATGAGCCTCCAGGTAAAGGCCCCAAGGTCTTGGACCCAAACTGGGGTGTAGGACTAATTCGTTGTGTGGTTTGACCTCTGGCATCGGGTCCCTGATGTTGCATCTGTCCAAGCATGAGGCTTGCACAGCACATCTCAGGCCACAAAGAAGTCTCTTCCCAAAGCGGATATGCAAAATTCAAAGTAGAGGACCGCTTGGAGGGGCATAGGGTATATAGCCCATCCTGGTACATCCGAGATCCTGCAAATGCGTTCCGAGCTTGTGAAAACACGTGCCGGCGGCTCTGTCGGGTGTAGAGATTTGGAGGGCTTCGGTCGCTTTACGTGGGGGCTTAGAGAGTTTATTTAAGGTGTTGAGGGGCCTACTTACTACTTTCGGGTTCAAGGGGTTAAAGTGTCCACGGCTATGTTTCCGTCGTGTCACGATGGCATGTGTAGGGTTCAGGGTTTAGGGTTAGGGCCTCTAGGGTTCAGGGTTTAGGGTGTATGGTTTATGTTTTTTTGAGGTTTCATCTCCTTCCATTGGGTACCTGCAGTAGTGAGGACTACCAAACGTCACAAGGGAAAAGGACCCTTACAAAGCCTGCGGCTCGGGAAGCGAGCTTTCCCTACCCAAAACCCTATAAACCCTATCAACCCTCTAAAACTTATGAACGCTATATATACCCTATAAACTATAAAACCTGAAAACCCTATAAAACCCTATAAACCCCTAAAGACCCTAAAGACCTATAGACCCTATCAACTCTATAAAAACCAATAAAGCCTATAATTAAAACCCTATAAACCCGAAACCCGAAACCCTAAACCCTAAACCCTAGACCCTAAACCCTAAACCCTAAACGGCGATGTGGGGCTGCCAGGGTGGCTTCCTCGCCCTTCGACCAAACCCCGACACCTTCCGGCGGCTGGTGGAGGCCTGGGCAGGTAGGGGGGTTTAGGGTTTAGGGTTTAGGGTTTAGGGTTTAGGGTTTAGGGTTTAGGGTTTAGGGTTTAGGGTTTAGGTTTAGGGTTAAGGGTTTAGGGTTCAGGGTTTAGAGTTTAGGGTTTAGGGTTTAGGGCGTTTAGGGTTTATGGGGTTTAGGGCTTTTAGGGCTTGTAATGTTCATAGATTTTAAAGGTTGTCTTTGTTTTACAGGGTTTAGCTGTTGTACAGGGTTTATAGGGTTTGTGGCGTCTACGGCTACAGGGCTGTCGCGTTTTGGGTGGTTTGTAGGATTTATAGGGTTTATGGGGTGTCTTATCTAGACCTGTGTGTTTTTGGGGTGGTTTGTAGTGTTTGGGTGGTTCGTAGGGCAGGGCTTCGGGTTTCGGATTTCGGGTTTCGGGTTTAGGGTTTAGGGTTTAGGGTTTAGGGTTTAGGCTCCCATGGCTGCCCGGAGTCTTCGGACGACACCTCATGTGTCCTTTCACGGCTCGGCTCCATACTTCCATGTCTTGGCACGCTTTCCCAGGACCGGGAGTAGGCACTTTTTCGTTTTTTTAGGGTTTAGGGTTTAGGGTTTAGGGTTTATGCATGCATCCTTGCGGACAGTTCCGAAGCAACCACTTGGGAACCGACTACGTAACAGAAACGGAACTAGCAGCTCGTAGCCTAGCGTGCCTGCCTGTGGGCTCGCCTTTGAGCATTAAAGATCTCACGAGGGGACCGGAAGGGAATCTGTGCAGCCACCGGTTTCTGTACAACTGTATACCCCTGTTTGAGAACTTGCCGATACTTCCGACCGGTGAATAACCTAGATAAATTCTGACAAACCTCTCCAACATGGTGATACTGGGGTCGCATGGTCAGTGCGGGCACCTTGCATGGGACCCCAAGCCAACGCAAAGCAAACATCGCTCTGGGCTTCCATGGGCATTGACACGCCAAAAACACTGCACGAATCACGTGCGAAAAAACCAACAGTTGCGCCGTCAAGGGCTGGGCACACAAAGTTTAGGGTTTAGGGTTTAGGGTTTAGGGTTGGGGTTCCCTTATAATCCCCTTAACCCTAAAGAGGGTAGCCTTTTTATTCCTAGGCTACTCCCGGGTCTAGTTTCTTTTCCGCCCCCCCAAAGCCCAAAACAACTACGACCCCTGCAGTAGGCAGCCATTTAGGGTCTAGGGTTTCGGGTTTAGGGTTCAGGACCCCTAGAAGCCCTAAACCCTAAGCCCTAAGCCCTAAACCCTAAACCCCCAAAAATGCCTGAGAAATCCTTCAACACCTTAAACCCTAGGCCCGAACAGCCAAACGGCCTGATTTGGCAAGCCTAGGACCCAGAGTGAGCCCTTGGATTGTGTTTAGGGTTTAGGGTCTAGGGTCTAGGGTTTAGGGTTTAGGGTTTAGGGTTTAGGGTTCCGTTATAAGCCCCTTTTAAAGCAAAAAAGTGGCACCCTGGTTATTCCTAGGTCTAGTTTGCAAGCTTTCATGGGCCCTTAGTATTGTCCCGACTCCTTTAAAGGGTTCCGAAGTATGGGTTGTCGAGGGTACATAAGGGGTAAAGAAGTGGTCCCCTTTTAGGGGCCCATACCAGGGACCATGTCACTGCCGTTAGAAGTTTGCAATCAAGGGACTATCCTTCAAAGGGACCTGAGGGGTTCTTTTGGGGGGTTATTTGGGGGCTACTTAGGTATGTAGGGACTCTAGCAGGTGTATAATATGGGGGTTACATAGGGAACAAAATATTAAGGGTCCCTGCCAGGGCTCCCTAACCTTTGAAGTTTGCAAGCTTGGCACTCCAGCAGCTCAAGAGATTAATACTCGTACCCCTTGAGGTTGTACCCCTAAAGGTCTCCCTAGTATACTCCGAATATGGCTACCTTAAGGATCTCTAAACAGGGTCCCAAAACCCAAAGGTGCAACCTTAAGGGTCCAAGGTAAACTCCTAGAGCAGCATGGTCCGAAGGCCTTGGATCAGCCCATACCGTTCACCAACAACGACGCTTGGGACGCTGACAAAGAGGTTCTGGCGTACCCGAGACCCTAAACCCCAATCCCTAATCCCTAATCCCTAAACCCTAAACCCTAAACCCTAAACCCTAAACCCTAAACCCTAAACCCTAAACCCTAAACCCTAAACTCAAACCCTACATAAACCCTAAACCCTACTATTCAAATGGGTGGGAGGGCGGCGTTCATTTGCTGTTGTGGGCCTCGGCCTCCCGACTTGGAGGTTGACCCTAAACCCTATAGTCAGTTTAGGGTTTAGGGTTTAGGTTCTAGGGTTTAGGGTTTAGGGTTTAGGGTTCTTAAACCCCCAAAACCACCCAATAACCCTAAACCCTAAAACTCTAAGCCCTAAACCCTAAAAACCCTAAACCCCCAAATCCTAAACCTTGAGCCCCAAACTCCAAATGCTTGCGGGCTCTTGCCTAACCTGTGACCGACATAAGGAGATGGGCTTTCTCAATGCCGTGCTGTGGGGCGACTACGCGCAAGTGTCTGCAGAGGCGCGCCCGTCAAGAGGCGTTGTGAAACCCTAAGCCCTATCCCTAAACCCTAAACCCTAAACCCTAAACCCTAAACCCTAAACCCTAAACCCTAAACCCTAAACCCTAAACCCTAAACCCTAAACCCTAAACCCTAAACCCTAACCCTGGGTTTGAGGTCTTTGGAAACTCTGAACTCGGGGGCGTGAGGGGTTGGCGCCCGATGATGATCCTTGGTCTGGGAGTTTAGGATCGGGGGTTCGGTTAAGGGTTTAGGGTTTAGGGTTTAGGGTTTAGGGTTTAGGGCTTAGGGTTTAGGGTTTAGGGTTTAGGGTTTAGGGTCTAGGGTCTAGGGTCTGCGGTTAAGGGTTTAGCGCTTATAGGGCCTGGGATTTAGGGTGTAGGGCTTGCTCAGAGCTCAGTAGTAGGGTTTAGGGTTTAGGGTTTAGGGTTGCAGGGTCGATTGTTTGCTACTTGTATTTTCACTCGTTCGGTTTCCTGAGCCTTGCTTCCTGTTATCCAATTCCTAAGCCCACAAACCCCAAAGCCTGTTGTTTCGAGGTTGCTTCTCAACCTCCTGAAGCCTTAAATCGTAAACCCTAAACCCCTAGCCCTAAACCCTAAACCCCTCAACCCCACTCCTGAGCTGCAGCCGCGAGGCGATCGGGATGCAATCGCCGCAAGCATACTGACAACCATAGATGAGCTGATACATTCCATGCCCGGTTTTTGCGACTGAGAAACCTCACTGGCTCAACTCGTGGTTGAAGCGCTTCAACCCGAAGCCACCCACCCCGCTTCTGCCCCGCCGCCATGTTCAGCACGATCGGCCTCGTCCTGTTTGGACTGAGCTGGTCGATGTTTGTGCCGAGCTATCTCGACCCTGTCTCAGGGAGCCCACCTGGAGCCTCGAATGTCGAAATTCTTTGGACGGCCGCCTTCGGCGGCTACTCGCTGTTCTGGGCCATCACCTGCTTTGCGGTGGCCCACCTTGCCGACAGGCTGCAAGTGTCGCCGTCTGCGTTCAATCTGCCATGTGCGCCTTCTTTGCACACTTCCACAGTTCCTACACCCGTCGAATGGTGGATGCAGATACCTCTGCCCTAACCGCTGCCTGGGCTCTGGGCGTGCCCATTTGGGCAAAGCATCGCCGGATCCGAAGACGAAGTTCTCGGAATCCGGCCTTTTCCTAGGCCCATCAGAGCCTCACTCTGAGATAAACAAAAGTGGATGGGGAGTTGGTGGTCCAGCTACTGCCATCACTTTGCCCACAAAGTTGTTGAACCCTAAGCCCGTGAAACTCTTGAAGCCCCCCCCCGTTAATCCCGAGGCCGTAAACCCTGAACCCTAAACCTGGATTAACCCTAAACCCTAAACCCTAACCCCTAAACCCTAAACCCTAAACCCCTGAAAGCCCCCTTAATCCCGAAGCCCCAAAGCACAGGACCGCCTCCCCGGCAGACAGCACCTTTGTGCTGCGCGCTGCATGCTGGAGGTTCGCCATCCGAAAGGGTTTGGGGGGGGTTTAGGGTTTAGGGTTTAGGGTTTAGGGTTTAGGGTTTAGGGTTTAGGGTTTAGGGTTTAGGGTTTAGGGTTTAGGGTTTAGGGTTTAGGGTTTAGGGTTTAGGGGGAGACCCGAAGCCCCCTTAACCCTAAACCCTAAACCTGCTACCTGGCCTTGCCAGAAAGGACCAAGCTGTTCAGTTGGAGCTTGCGTATCAGCTGATTGAGGCTGGCCTGCCGGCAGCAACTTTAGCAGGGCTTTTGCCAGGTAGGGTTTAGGGTTTAGGGTTTAGGGTTTAGGGTTTAGGGTTTAGGGTGTAGGGTTTAGGGTTTAGGGTTTAGGGTTTAGGGTTTAAGGTATGGGGAACTCAAGGGACTCAAGGAGGGACCCTTAAAAAGGAACCTCATGGGTTTTTAGGGATTATGTATGAGCTGTATATGGGGACTACATAAGGTATATATATATATATAGGCTTATATAGGGGAATAAGATTCAGGGCGCAATAGCCTCCGAAGACACACGCACGTGAACAAGCACAGGCACAGGCACAAGCACAAGCACAAGCACAAGCACAAAGCACAAAGCACAAAGCACAAAGCACAAAGCACAAAACACAAAGCACAAAGCACAAAGCACAAAGCACAAGCACAAGCACAAGCACAAGCAGCAGCACCAGCACCAGCACCAGCACAAGCACAAACACAAACACAACACACACGCACGCACATGCTTACGGACAGACACGGACGCAGAGACACAGAGACACGGAGACACAGAGACACAGAGACACAGAGACACAGAGACACAGAGACACAGAGACACAGAGACACAGAGACACAGAGACACAGAGACACAGAGACACAGAGACACAGAGACACAGAGACACAGCGAGACGGAGACACGGAGACACCGAGACACAGAGACACAGAGACACAGAGACACAGAGACACAGAGACACAGGGACACAGGGACACAGGGACACGAGACCCAGAGACGCACAGACGCACAGACACATGACACACGGACACAGACGGACACACAGACACAGACGGACACGCGCACACCATAGAATACGTCCATATGTAGTTCCACGTCAAGGGTACTCCTAATCTTCTCCTGGAGGAATTACTCGCATGACAATAGTACCACCCCCCCCCCCCCCCCCCCCGCCATCAAAGAAAGGGTACAGTACCTCCATTTGGCAACCTTGTCTCCTTGGCTCTCTGAGCGGCTCTCTGTCTCTGTCTCTGTCTCTGTCTCTGTCTCTGTCTCTGTCTCTGTCTCTGTCTCTGTCTCTGTCTCTGTCTCTGTCTCTCTCTCTCTCTCTCTCTCTCTCTCTCTGTCTCTGTTTCTATTTCTTTCGTTCTTTCAGTATGTCTGGTAAGAAATACGTATGTATATATACATATACATATATGAGAGCGGGCTCTTTTATCATCGTTTATTTTGTTGACCCATGTTTTTGCTTTATCATCTTTGTGAGCTTTTGCATGTTTCTATCATCTTTATCATCGTTTTAGTTGACTCCATTTCTTATAATATTTTATCATTTTGTTATCTTTGTTAACGTTCATTATCCTGCGAACCCCCCCCAAAAAAAAACCGCCCCTGCGGCTGATGATTCTTTTTTCGTGCTTGCTTTAGGTTGTTATCGTACTTTTTATGGTTTTGGGCGAGAATAAAAAAAAACTAAACCCTAAACCCCTAAACCCTAAACCATGAAAATACGAGAAAAAGCAGGAACATACAAGAACCAAAACCTAGACCCCTGCCTAAACCATGGGGGGTTTGCTAAAAGCTCATAGGTTTGAAAATCTGCTTCAAAATTGCTTGGGGTGTTGAGTTTGGGGTGTTGAGTTTGCAGCCTCGAAGAAAATCGATAAGGAAGAAAAGTAGCGCAGCCACATACCCAAAACAACGAACCTATGAACGTATAATCCTTATTGCTTTCCTCATGTAGTTTTATTTTGTTCTTTCACAGTCGTCATTTATTTTTTATCGGTTATCTTCATAGGCCAGCCCTGGAATTCAATCCATGCGCGCTCGGAGGTTTCATATTGTATATGCAAAGCAGATCGACTTGGTATTCCTTGCATGTTTAGCAGCCGGCTTTAACAGTCAGATGCTGCGTTGCATGCTGCCGCGCAATGCAGCTCTGATAGATAAAAACAACTTTGAGATTATGAGCCTTGCGCATCTCTTGCCACATTCAAGTTTCTGCTCTCCTATGATCGTCCTTCCTTGATCTATCACTTTGTTTCACCGTGCCGCTGTCAAGCTTGGATGCAACCCAGCGGGCCCTTCGCGTCGCGCGTGCACAGTACAGCCGCGGGAAAGGTGACCTTCGTGAGTTGTTGCGTACGCGACAGACCACGGTAAAGAGACAAAGGGCAGCCTTGAGACAAGTGGAAGATAAGGTCCGGAAATGGGCGGCATTTTGTCCGAAGAGTGTTCTTCTTCATCCTCATTGCTGGGAAGTTCATCCAGTGGGAGTGAGACAGACTCGGCGTGCTTGAAGGGCAGCCTTGCTCTCAGCACTCGTCGCAGAAGCGCGAAAAGAAACCGTCTCACGTACGCCGTTCGCCTGACTCAGGCTCAGCAGCAAATGACGGAGACGGAGGCACCCCTGACCCTCAGACCGCCTACAACAAAGTCCTGCGTCAAATTTAACTCTGACAGGACCGTGAAGAAGAAGAAGTAGCGTGCGACACCCCAGCCTTGCTCTCAGCGCTCGTCGCAGAAGCATAAAAAGAAACCGTCTCATGTACGCCTGACTCAGGCTCAGGAGGAGATGACGGAGACGGAGGCACACCTGACCTTCAGACCGCCTACAAAGAAAGTCCTGCAGAAGCACTTAACAAGCATTCTCATGCAAGCCCCTGCATGAGGCTCAGGAGGAGATGATGGAGACGGAGGCACGCCTGACTCTGCAAAAGTCATAGAGCAGCATCAACGTCTGATTTCGACTCGCTGGAGGCTTGTGACAGCAGCCGGCCACAGGCAAGACGAACCGATCAAGTGGTAGATAGCACTTTCACTCACCCTGAGGAAGAGACGCTGGGAAGATCTCACAGAGGATGAGAAGGAGGATGCGGATGCCTCAGGTTTCAAAATCCAGAAACATCGGGCTTGGGAGCTTGGCTTCGTGATATGAGGGATTTGGTATAAGTAAAGATTGGGTAGGGCTTTATTAATTTGGATGATTGAATGGCGTGGCTCGGGCCACACGCTACGCAATCTACAATCCGGCAGCCTCAGGTTCTGTTGCCCTGATTCTGAACCCAGGTAGAGTTCATTGAGGCTTTAGCGGTTAGGATTTAGGGTTCATGGTTTTCCTTTCGCGAACACATTGCTTTAGGGTTAGGAAGTTAAGGGTTTAAGCGGCTTAAGACCTTGAAGTGTTGGAGAATATTTTGAGTAGTCTCTTAGAAAGCGGAACCCAAACCTCGCCGAGGCATACCAGGAGGAGCTCTACTGGTCGACGCCGTGGAGGATGTGTCTCACAAATAAGCCCTAGACTTCAAGAGTAAACCCTGACAACTGTGAACTTTCAATTTTAAACTTGAAGTCACGTCTCGAACGTTGCTTCCTGACCACTCATGTCTGGAGTGAATCGATGAACGCACTTTGATCGCTTTCAATACAGTGGTTGGAGTAAACATCAATGCGAACAATGATCACAAAAATCAGCGCAAAACAAGTTTGGCAGTTCAAGTGTAAGGAGTAGTTTCTGCGAACAGACTGGACTTGCAAGCGCGTGACAATCCAACACATACAGGCAACTGGCCCACAAAAACATAAATGCGAACAATGATCACAAAAAAACACACACACCAAAGCAACTTGACAGTTCAAGTGTAGGGAGTAGCTTCTGCGAACAGACTGGACTTGCAAGTGCATGTTAATCCAAACAAACACAGGCAACCAGCCCACAAATTTATCAATGCGAACAATGGTCACAAAACAAGCACGCGAAAACAATTTTGACAGTTCAAGTGTAGGGAGCAGTTTCTGCGAACAGATTGTACTTGCAAGCGCATGCCAATCCAGTAAATACAAGCAACCAGTTCAACCAGCAAACATCAATGCAAAACAAATCACAAAAACACGCACACACACACACACGCAAAACAGTTTTGACAGTTCAAGTATAGGGAGTAGTTTCTGCGAACAGATGGTACTTGCAAGCGCATGTTAATCCAAAAAACACAGGCGTCAGAGAATCATTCATCATTGTTCTCGAGTGTTTTGTCATGTGGAGACCGTTGCTGGGTTGCATTCATTCATGCAAGTGCAGGTGCCAGCTAGGTTGTTGTAGATGCCGCTCGGTGTAGACCCCCAGCATCGAGTCCCGATTCTGTCCATGATTTATGTACGATCTCCACCCTTCACACTGAACTTGAGGCGTTTGTCCTGTCGTCTTCACACTGTTGCCCAATCGGACATTGTTCCAAAAAGCCTGCCCAAGCGGACTGGCTACGAGTGTGTGTGTGTGTGTATAAAGAAGGCCCTCTGTCAAGGTGTTATATACTTTCTACTATTCTGAAAAATGTCGTCAAAGGACTGCGATGACATTGATGTGTTGTAATATTCTGTTCATGCCATCATTCAAGGACCACTCACGTCACTTGAGCGAATAAACCCACATCATGACACGAACGTGAGGAGAAGCCCAAGGGTGCTTCAGCAGCAGCTACACAGAGTTTAAACAGCATTGCCTGAATCAGCAATCGGGAGCTAAGCACAGCATCGATGACCAGCAGTTCTGGAGAGACCAGCTGACGGCCAGACCTTGCGTGGTCGATTCAACCTATCTAACTTTCATATTCTCTCAGTGAGCACAAATCCAACACATCCAACAGAACTCAGAACTGCTCGCTCTCATGAATTCTCAGATAAAGCTGACTCACTCACTACCACTCACAATCAACCATTCTTCAGTTTTGTTTCTGTAGCAGACAATGCTCTTCTGGAGGAACTTTCATCCTCGTTCATTGGTGCTTGCTGTGAGAAGAATGGCAGTCGCCCTCGCGTTAAGAAAAATTCTGCTTCGGACCTGGCGGGTGAACTGGCGTAACCCGGCTGATCTTCACTCACACACATTTGAGGGCGCAAAAAAGGGCAAGAGCAAGGACACGGGTTGAATTGTGCGAGTAAGGCTGACATGGCCAAGGAGTGTGAAAGAGAGCCTGCAGATGCCAAGGACTTGAGCTTGCTTGCGGTTTGATATCAAAGGCTACGTGTACCCCATCACGGAAGTGCACCCCATTAAAGGAAAGGCATAAGTGACGGAACAGTCTGCGAATGTGGCATTCCCCAGGCGCTGGGGTATGAAGGCTGCAACAGCCATGTGCAACGTGCCTGCTAGCACCACTACAATCGCCAAGAAAGCCGACATGTTCTCGTGACTTTGTCTGCTTTGCCCCAGCTTCAGCAAAATCTAGCTTCCTCATTCAGTTCCGTCCAGTGCCGCGTCAGACCCCAAGAAGTGGAAGCCAGCAACCTGTGATTTATATACTTGTACTGTCATGCTCAGGCCATGTCCCGCAACATGATGGAAAAGATTGCGGCGGACCTCGAGCCCTTCGGGCGGGCGGAGATGTCAGGCCGCCAAAGGGCAGATTTGGGCTAAGCTTTGGGTGAAGTTTTAGGCGATGTTTTAACTGAAATTTCGGGCGACATTCCTTTTGACGCAAGACATCAGGTCGCGACAAGATCTCAGCATTTTTGGAAATTTGACGCAAGACGGGGTTGCGTCAGGATGTCAAGTTTGGAAAATTCTTCTGGCCAATCTTCCGCAGAATTAAGTCATGTTGCTCTAATCCCCCGCCTCTTGTCTCAGATTGGGCCGGCCATACAAATGTTAATAGCATTGAACCATGGCATGGCGCAAGGGGACAAGGGCGAGCGCAAGGGCTAAGAAGGGCGACAGTCGATGCATTGCGCCTTTCGTGTGGAGAAGCTAGCCTTGCCTGTCTTCTGCGCTTGTGAGAGTCGAAGCCCGGCCTCCCGAATGAAAGTCGGGATTTGTCTTCCCGGCTACTTCGCTCCCCACGTCCGCCCCCAAACCAGGTTTAGGTTGGTGGGCTGGACGCGCGCCCAAGGGTGGCGCAAGGGACGCGCAAGGCTGGCGCAAGACACGTATGTTTTAGCTTAAGGACGAATATAAACAATAAGTTTTGCTTTGTTTTTTAGTACTGCACATGGAAACTAAGCAAAAAGAACACTAAAGGCATCAGCCTAATATTATATATATATTGATAGTGTATTGTTGTCCTGTGTTGTTGTCTCTCTCTCTCTCTCTCTCTCTCTTACTCTCTGTGACAGGTTTGTTCCTTCCTTCTAGACCCTAAACGCTCTCTCTCTCTCTCTCTGTAGAACTTGTGTTCCCCAAACCCTAAACCCTAAAACCCGCAAAGTTCCCTTCCGCGCCGAAGCCCCCGAGGCCTTATGGACTTCCAGGGCAAAGCAAAACCCTGGCTGTGGCCGCCGCCGCCTGTCGAGAGGTAGTCGTTCTTAGTAGGGTTTAGGGTTTAGGGTTCAGGATAGTCAGGATAATTACGGAATTAGGTACCCTATACAATCCCGCCGTAAAGGGTGACGTAGGCGGGGGAAAGCTGCCATTTTGCCAAGAAAAGGAGCCTAATTGAGAGCCAAAACCATCCATCCCCTTTTTACCCCTGGTTTAGGGTTTAAGGTTTAGGTTTTAGGGCCTTGTATGGCTACCGAGAATGCCAATTGAGTCTAGGTAGAGACATGCTGAGTTTGACCTCTCTCCATCTCTTGCTTTCTCCCGTTCGCTCTCTCCCCGGATCTCCCTCTCTCTCTCTCTCTCTCGCCCTGTCTTAGGGTTTAGGGTTTAGGGTCTCTCCTACGTTCTTTCGTTCTTCCTTTCTCAGGTCCGTTCACGCGCGGTGTGCGTCCTTTACGGCCTTCGCCGGGGTCTGGCAGGCCCATGTGAAGCTTCGGATTGGGCTTACTTGGAGGTTCAGGGTACTTAGTAACCCATTATAAGATATTATAAGTGTAGCTATAACTCGCATATAAGCCCCTCAAGTACCCTAATGCGGTTACAACTGGGTTATAAGTACAGTAATGATTGGGATACTAAGTACCATGAGCCTCCAAGTAGGGGTTGTTCAGGGTTCCGGGCTTCATGGGGGTCAGGAGACTGAATCCCCTCATACCCTAAAGCTCAGGCGACGTGCCGGGTAAGACTCCCCACTACTCCCTAAGGCTCCCTAAGCTTCCTTAAAGGTTCCCTAGGTACCTACCCCCCAACGAAGCCCCCCGCCCTCAAGGACCCTATCCCCCACTACTCCTTAAGGCTCCCTAAGCTTCCTTAAGGGTTCCCTAGGTACCCTACCCCCCAAATAAGCCCCCGCCCTTAAGGACCTACTGAAACCTAAGGCAATCCTTCTCGCGCCTGGACAGAGATGGGTCCGCTGGGTGCTGGATCATTTCGACACGGACCTCGACCGGGTTGGGGAGTTGGTGACAGGATTTTTCCCGAAGCCAAGTCCCTATTCCCTTGCAGCCCTAAACTATACGCAGGAGATATTCTGTGTTGTCCCCTTATTCTTGAGTTCAAGAGGATCATATTTAGGGATGTTTGTCCGAGGGTTTTAAGGGCCATCCGAGTAAATTCGCACGTACATACAGCCCCGGGTCTGCCAGTTAGGAAGTTATAAAGTTGGCTCTTCTGCGGGAGCCCTCAACCAAGCCCTCGACCTTAACACATCCCCCACACCCTGCGCCGAAACCCCAACCCCCAGGTGAGGTTTTCGGTATCCGGGTTGAGGGTGTAGGTTTTGGGGTTTCAGGGCTTAGGGTCTACGGGTTTAGGGCTTAGGCAAAGTGAAGATCTGTCTCGAGGCTGATATGGACTACCTGTACGGGGTTCAGGGTTTCGGGGCCTTTTATGCTGCCCCTTTGCTTGGGGTAGCTCATAAGGCTACTTCTAAGGCACCGCCAAGTAGAGTTTTGCTTTGCGGGCAGCCGAGTAAGCTGCGCAAGGACCAGCGCCTGCTGAATGTGAACAAGCCGATGCCTGCGAGTGTCATCCCGTTGGTGGAGCAGGCTCGTACCAGGGAGCCCAATACTCGTTAATCTGAGAAAAGTACCGTAGAATAAAGTAACGATTTGAGCTGGGTACCACCGCATTACTCTTTAATTTTCAGACATGCCTCTTCCTGGAATAAAGTTACGTTTTGGGTTTTTCCTTCGTGCACCAGCATACATTCTACAATCTGCAGATATACATGTACATACATACATACATACATACATACATACATATATATATATATATACGTATACACACACACACATATACAAATATATATATATACATATATATATATATTGTTTTCTTATATTCAAGGTTTTCTCCTCAACAACTGGGATCCTGGGCGACACACTCGACCCTCAACACTCGAGCCCTACGAAGCACTCTACTCCACTCGCCAAATCTCTGGATCCCAAACCCCAAGCGTGCCAAAAAAGTAATATAGGCGTCCGAATAACTTCTAATAGTATTCCCTTATGGTCCCTTTGTAGTTACACTACAATAACCCCCCCCCCAAACCCTATTCTGATGATTCAGGCGCCTATATTACACTGGACACGACAGAGTTTCACGGTAAACTTGTGCCGAGGTGCTCAACGTTGCCTTGCAGGCCAAACCGCCGGGAAAGGGCAGTGAACTCCAACAAGTCGGAACATCCTTATCCCCAGACCCTAGAAGGTACACTAAAGGGAATCCCAGCTCTAATCATCCTTAAACCATGTGCCAACTTTCTGCAGTTTGCTGTAGGTGTCCGCCCTCAAATCAACCCTGGGTTTGCTCCTAGGTAGGATAAGGGGGACCCTTAAAAGGGAACCCCTTCTTTACCCTCTTCTGGCTCTCTTGAACAGAGACCTTCTTCAGAGGGTTTATATTCCCCAAGGGTCCCCCTAATCCTATCCCCTATGTGCTCGGATGCTTACCCTAAACCCCACAAGTGGCGACGAGGTCCAGCTGATTCCAGGCTCGGTGGCGCACAGCCAAGTGCTTGGCCTTTTGGCTTGCAAAGCATGCCCTGGAGAGCTTTAGTTTTTTTTTTTTTGGGGGGGGGGGGGGGGGGGGGGTGTTTAGGGCTTAAGGGGTTGGGGGGTTTAGGGTTTAGGTTAGCCATTTGGTACCCATTTTTTTTTGTTGGTTGCTGGGTTCCCTTTTCATGTAGCCAGCCCAAAAAAGGTTGCCCTTATGATAGTCTGGTCACTAGGCTGCCAAGGCAACTTTTTTAACATAAGGGTTTGGGAATCAGCGAGGGTGCGCATTTGGGGTTGGATGGCTGCGTTGGGAAAGTTTTTGACATTTCACCCAGACCTTACATAGCGGAGACCCGAAACCCTAAACTCTAAACCCTGTGTTTTGGTTGGATTGTCAGGATCTCAGCCCTAAGCCCTAAGAGCATGCCATCCGTCACAAGCACCTTCCTTTCGTTGCGCATGTATCCTTTAGGAGGACCAATTCAATTCGGGATGCTCCCCCTTATACTAACATGCAGTCCTTCGTAGGGATGATAAAAGGAGGTACTATAATTTTCAATAAGGTTCGTATAGGGGGGAACATCCCAAGGACCAATGCTGGCTTGCAAAGCTTCTGTTTCAGAAGATTGCCGCCTCGTGGGGGTAGCTGTAACACTTGTTGGTCCAACTTTAGGGTTGAGGGTTTAAGGTTTATAGGGTTTAGGGATTAGGGATGCTGTAGCCACGGGGCCTGTAGTCCTGCAATTGAGGTTTGCTATGTGGTGCGGGCGTCGTGAACAAACATGATGCCACCTGTTTCAACAAGTCAGCAGAACGATTGTTTTGGTCGCGCATGCTTCCAAGAAGAACCCCTGGAATTGGGAATATGGAGGCTTTCCAAAAGTAGGGATATATACATATATATATATATATAATCTTTTTAGGGTGGTGTTCTACTAAAAAGTCGGTATTATCGTATCTTGGGGAATATTTGGGGTGCCCCTCTTTTGGCAAATTCCAGTATATATGTATATCTATATATATACACACATACAATGGTGATGTAGGGAGGAATTCAGAACGTGTACTGCCCTAAACCCTCATCCCTCAACCCTACTTGGGGGGGTCGGAGGACTTAGTAAGTAGTTCTCCACGAGAGTTATAAATAGGAAAGCTCCAATTAGGGTCCCTTTTTAGGGTACTTATACGTCTACTTACCATCTGCTTACTAAGTCCCCCGGCCCTAAACCCTAAACCCTAAACCCTAAACCCTAAACCATGTCTAGTCTCAGTTTAGCTCACTGGGCTGCACCGTAACAGCCACCAACCCTAAACCCGGTTTATGGTTTTAGGGTTTAGGGCCATTAAGCCCAGAGGTTCTGGGCCCTTAACCCTACCTCCTATAAGCCCTAGGCTTTCCCGTAAAAAAAACAAATAAAGCAACAAACATAGATAAACGCCGTACTTGGAGGTTCCTGGGCACTTATAAGTAGGTGACAAGGATAAGGAGGGTAACTACGGTTGTTGTGACCTCACTGAGGTTACTTATATCCGTACTCATAAACCCTATAGGGTTTAGGGTTTAGGGTTTAGGTTTATAAACACTACTTAGAGGTAGCCACGAACCTCCAGGCAGATGGCTTAGTACCAGTGGCTTGGCGATTTTTGAGCCTTGTGTGGTGCCCTCGTGAGTGACTCATGGGATGTGCGTCGTGGTCTTACATACACTGTCTGGGTTTTAAGGGTTTAGGGTTCAGGGCTTTAGGGTTTAAGGTCTAGAGGCGTTGGGAGAGGCTCAAGGGGGGGCGGCTTAAAAAGGGCTACTATACGGGAACAAATACTAATGGCATTCCCTTATGGTCCCTTATGTCTTTATACCAGAATCAGCCCCGAAACCCTAGCCCTACCCTAAACCCTAAACCCTAAAGCCTAAACCCTAATTCAGGCCCCTATGTTAAGCTGCTGGGCTGAGGTCTGGACTTATTTCGTGGACACCACCGCGTGGGTGGAGGCCGCCGGCAAAGGCGGCCCCGCACAAAGGAGAGCCCCTAAACCCCTAAACCCCTAAACCCCTAAACCCCTACACCCCTAAACCCCTAAACCCCTAAACCCCTAAACCCTAAACCCTAACCCCTAAGCCTTGAAGGTGGGGGGGGGGGGTTGGGCTCCTTTTGGACTCTTCAAACCCTGAAGGCTCCTGAATCCCGCAGCTCTCTAAACCTTCTAAGCCCGCAACTCTTAAGAGGGTTTAGGGTTTAGGGTAGCCCAGTGGTAGCCTTTGCCTCCTTCTTTAGTTCAAGGTGCCCTTATTAAAGCAGCCAACGACTTGAAAGGATACCCTTCTTTTTTTAAGTTACTGGGCTACTTAGAGAGGGCGCTCGACCGTTTTGTTGTTGCCTCTTGTGTTGCATTGTTTAAGATCACCACGCCATGTGCATTTGTTTTCTTGATCCCTCTCTCTCACTCTCTCTTTGCCTGCCTCTCTCTCTCTCTCTATCCCTAAACCCTAAACCCCAAACCTCTCTTTTCTCTGTGCCTCCCTGTCTCTCTTGCTCTTGCTTTTGCTCTTTCCGCCAAGGTGAAATATGCCGCGCGTGGCGGAGCTTCAAGAAGGAGAAGCACCCAAAGCAAAGCACGATGGCCTAAACCTCAAGTAACAAACCTTCTTGGGTTTAGGGGTTTAGGGGTTTAGGGTTTAGGGTTTAGGGTTTAGGGTTTAGGGTTCACATCTGTGTCTTGGGATGTAGGGTTCTGTAGGTTCTGGCTCAACCCTAAGCCTTGGCATGTTCCCCCTTAGGGGAACCGTCCTTAATATTAATCGGGATTCTAGTACCCGCTTACTACAATCCCTTAACCCGAAACCCTAATCCCTAAACCCTAAACCCTAAACCCTAAATCCCTTTCAAGGACTGCTAGTACAGGGGGGAACATCCCCTAAACCCTCCCTTGCACTTTGGGTTGAGGGTTTAGGGTTTAGGTTTAGGGTTTAGGGTTTAGGGTTTAGGTTTAGGGTTTAGGGTTTAGGGTTTAGGGTTGAGGGTTTAGGGTTTAGGGTATAGGGTTTAGGGTTTAGGGTTCACGTCTGTGTCTTGGGGATGTCGGGTTCTATAGGGTCTGGCCAAACCCAAGCCTTAAACTCTAAACCCCAAATAAAGCCTGCAACCCCGGCCAGGGTAACACAAATTGCTCCAAATCCCAGCACGCTGGTCTTCTTGAATGAGGTTGGGCTTATGGTTTGGGTTTAGGGTTTCTGGTTTAGGGTATGTTAAATATTTGCAGTTGTAGTATCTGGTTTTCTTGTGCAGAGGCCACTTTGCATGCAAAGGACCCCACCGAAGTCCTGATGACAAGCCAAACAGGAAAGCCACTTCAGAAGTTCCTTAAACCCTAAACCCTAAACCCTAAACCCTAAACCCTAAACCCTAAACCCTAAGAGCCCCAACCCTAACTTCGGAAAGATCCCGTATCCTCTCGTCCGCAAAGCAAGCGTCTGCGAGAGGAGCGTGGCGCCGTTCTCCCCCAGACAATGGAACTGAGCGCCTTGTATCGGAGTTGTGGAAAAGTTTGCTTCTGGCTCGGGTTCCAAAAGCTTGTTCGGCGTAAGGGCCTTGAAGGCTGTAGAATCGGGGTTTTGGATCGAGGTTCACGGCTTAGGGCGGAAGATGTGGGCCACGCAGCATTGGAATCATCCAGCTTGGGCTAGGGCTAAAGTCCCTAAACCCTATTCCCTAAAACCCCAAAGAAACTGAAGACCTAGGGAGACTTAAACCCTAAATAAACCCTTCGAGGCTATCTCCATCCGCAGTATGCAGAAGGCTCAGCTCGAGCCACAACCCCCCCCCCCCCCCCAACACGCTAAAGCCAAAAGCCCTCCCCCTCTCCCCCCTCTCTCCATTTCGACAAGAAGACAGAGAGAGAGAGAGAGAGAGAGAGAGCCATATTTATGATTTTACATATACATATACATATACATATATATATATATGAATGCAACATATGATATACATATAGAATAGAACATTGTGTATGCATGTTACATATGCCATATAGTGTATATGATATCTATATCTAGGTATCCATGTTATCTACATGGGACCCTAAACCCTAAACCCTAAACCCTAAACCCTAAACCCTAAACCCTAAGCCCTAAGCCCTAAGCCCTAAGCCCTAAACCCTAAACCCTAAACCCCAGACAGCTACCCAGATCTAAACGTACTTGCTATATTCACACAGCGAAATGAAGTTAAAGCCCAGGTGGCTGGGTGCCCACTCCTGAAGTGAGCGTGGCTTGGCATCTGATGGCATCCTGGTGGTTCCCCTGAGGTTTGGGGTTCAGGGTTTAGGGTTTAGGGTTTAGGCTTAGCGTCTAGGGTTTAGGGGTGCTGTTGATGGTCTAGGATTTCGTACGACCTTAAGTTATTAAGGGTCCAAGGTCGAACCCCTAGATACATGTCCTCCTCACAAGCGCAGCTCTTCTCACATCTGCGTGCCCGGGCCTTTAATTGGAAACCCCCAAACGCTAGCAGTCAGTGACCTCATTGGTATCCCGTGCACATGTCCCAGAATGATTGACCTACTGGTTCTTAGTAGGGGATGGGGGAATGAGGTATATATACAGTGCCTTAACGGGTAGATATAGAGTGATGTAAGGTACCTACTTCTGTTCTTCCACTATTAACAATCTGTAGGCTGAACTAGAAAAGGATAGGGGCGGACGACAGGGTTCATTGGGCAAGGGGGTTCTACCGTCTCTTCTGTGAATTACTCACGGGAAACCAAGAGGCTGGAAGGGACATGGGGGTGTAAGGCCCCATATTTCCCGAATAAGGGCCGCTGAATAATCCCAAAAAAGCCTTCTAATTTTTTAATAGTTCCCTATATATGGCCCCCATTTACACCCCTCCCTTCCGCCCCCTTTGCTCCTTAAGAACTATACGGTAGAAACCTAAGGAATCACCAATATTGTGGCGTTAGGACTATTAGTATACTACTGTTTGCTGAAGAACCCCAAAAGAACAAACAATAATAATCCCTAGATTCCCCTCATAAGGAAGAATATTTTCATTCTTTGGGGGAGGTCTAAAGCAGTTACTAGTATAGGATGCCTCAAACCCTAAAACCCTAAAACCCTAAAACCCTAAAACCCTAAAACCTAAAGCCTAAACCCTAAACCCTAAACCCCAAACCCTAAACCCCCAAAACGGACCTCCAAAGGTGGTCATTCCCTGCACACTTCGAGATGCACAGCGCAAGTTCGCCTTGGGCGAGATGCTGCGCACCGCCCCTGGGCTGGTCTTGCTCGCCCAGACCCAGAAACTCCAAAAACGCCTCAGCTAAGGAAGATTAGGGTTTAGGGTTTAGGGTTTAGGGTTTAGGGTTTAGGGTTTAGGGTTTAGGGTTTAGGGTTTAGGGCCTTACATCATATTCGGGTTCACATATTTGGGGTGAAACACCTTAGTTAAGGAAGATGCCTTACATCATACTAGGGTTCAGATTTTTTGGGGTCCAAGGATAATTCAAGGGATGTTCCTCAATTCAGGGGTTTTGGAGTCTGTGGGGAGGTACCCTTTGGGGGGGGGATTTGGGATTCAACGGCTCCCTTGTAAAGTGCCCTAAACCCAAAACGGGTACCCTTATGATGATATGGTTCGGTTTAGGGTTTAGGGTCTAGGGTTTAGGGTTTGGGGTTTGGGGTTTGGGGTTTGTTATAAGCCAGGAAGGCAGCAGAGTTCAGGGCTTGGGTGTTCTTATGGTAGTGGAAACAAGGATGGAGGTGCCTATAACCCTAAACCCTAAACCCTAAACCCAAAACCCTAAACCCAAAACCCTAAACCCTAAACCCTAAACCCTAAACCCTAAACCCTAAACCCTAAACCCTAAACCCTAAACCGAAACTCTAAACCCTAAACCCTATATGTGTTTTTTGTTTTTACATGTTAGTTTTTGTCCGTCCCTATTCCCTTTATGGGGATTTCCTAGGGTACCTCGCACCCTCATTCTGGAATAAGAGCTGGTAGGCTTTTTGGAGGTTTAAGGTTTAGGGCGCAAGGGTTTAGGGTTTAGGTTTCTAGGGTTTTAGGGTTCTAGGGTTCTAGGGTCTAGGGTTCTAGGATTTAGGGTTTAGGCGTTAGGGGCCCCCAGACTCCAGTTAAGGCTTATCCCTTGAACCTTCTCAGCTTTGGGTTCCGGGTTCTTTAGGGTGAGGGTCTGCGCCAGCCCGCCCAAGCCCCTAAACCCCTCGACCATACTCCTGAACTGAACCCTTCGTCCGACACCCTACACCCCTAACCCCCACACAAAACGCTACAAAAGCCCCAAAAAACTCCCCAAGCCCCTAAACCCTAAACCCTGCAAACCCTACATGAAGCCGCAACCCTAAAAAACCCCTCCCTCCGCCCAATCGGAACCGAGGTGCTCGAGCAAACCTTGAAGCCCTTAGAGGCCTGGGGCCTTGGGGAAGTTCTGGGAACCCTCAGCCCCAACCCTAAACCCTAAACCCGAAACCCTAAACCCTAAACGCTAAAACCCTAAACCCTAAACCCTAACCCCCAAACCCTAAACCCCGAGCCCAAAACCCTAAACCCTCAACCCCAGACCCTAGGATCCTCTCGTCTCGGGGAAGTTGAGGGTGAACACTCGAATGTCCGAGTTGGGTTTTAGGATGTTTTAGAGTTCAGGGTTCAGGTTTCAGGGTTTTGGGTTTAGGGTGATGGACTGTAGGGTTTCGGGTTTAGGGACTTCAACGAATCTAGGGCCTTTTATCAGCTAGATGTCTTCTGCCTTGCCTTCAATCTCTGGTCCCAGCATCACTGCGCATAGTCCACTCACTCAGGTACCCTAAACCCTAAACCCTAAACCCCGAAGCCCAAAACCCGACCAGTTTCTGGGATATTTCAGATTGTGTTTGCGAGAGTAGTGCTGTTGCAGCTCAGCTTCCCCCATTCCCTTAAATGCCTAAATTCATTAAGCCACACCCTAAGGCCCCTCCACTGCCTTGAGCTCAGCCCATAAAACCTGGACCCTGAACCCTAAACCCTAAACCCTAAACCCTAAACCCTAAACCCTAAACCCTAAACCCTAAACCCTAAACCCCTAAGCCCCGAACCATTAAGCGATGCTTAAGGTGATCGTGGCCCTTTCCAATGCTACGGCAGACGAGGCGTGGGCGCACTCCACTCCAGGGCTTGGGGTTTGGGGTTTAGGATTTAGGGTTTAGGGTTCGGGGTTTAGGATTTAGGGTTTGGGGTTTAGGATTTAGGGTTTAGGGTTCGGGGTTTAGGGTTTAGGGTTTTAGGGTTTAGGGTAACAGGGAACGGGAGTGCAAAGCGTCTGGCCATTCCAGTTTACTCCCCCGTTGCGCGAAGCCCAGGTTACCATCAAAATGATAGCCTGTTGGAGCCTAAACCCTAAACCCCAAACCCTAAACCCTAAACCCTAAACCGTCCTCGCAGACTGCATATCACACCCCTGGCCAGCAGGTTGTAGCTCCAGGGTGATGGAGGCACTGTAAATTCCACTACTCTCTGAATGGCACCACCAGTCTCATTGTCCTACCTACAGGGTGGGGGCCCCGTAGTTATAAGTAGAGTTATAAGGGCCCTAAGTTGGGTTATAAGGACCCTAAGTTAGGTTATAAGTCCCTTAACTACAGTTAGTATAGTAAGGGGGCCCCACCCTGTACCTAGACAGGGTGTTTCAACAGTTGCTGGCAAACCTTCGCAATGGGTGGGAATACGGGGCCCGTGGCCTGGGGTGGGAATTTAGGGTTTATAGGGTTGGGTAAACCCCTAAACCCCTAAACCCCTAAACCCCTAAACCCCTAAAACCCCTAAAACCCCTAAACCCCTAAACCCTAAAACCCCTAAAACCCCTAAACCCCTAAACCCTAAAACCCCTAAAACCCCTAAAACCCCTAAACCCCTAAACCCCTAAACCCTAAAACCCCTAAACCCCTAAACCCCTAAGCCCCTAAGCCCCTAAGCCCCTAAGCCCCTAAACCCCTAAGCCCTAAAGGAAGGGCCATCATTTTTGCGAAGTTACCACGCATTTTTTCGCATGGACTCCCAGAGACTCAGCCCCAAAGGCGGCTGCAGTCGAAACCAAGCTCTCGCGGTTCCTGGCTGCTTGGGCAGATGGGTTTAGGGTTTTTGGGTTTGGGGTTTGGGGTTTAGGATTTAGGGCTTAGGGTTTAGGGTTTAGGGTTTGGAGTTTGGGGTTTAGGGTTTAGGGCTTAGGGTTTAGGGTTTAGGGGTTAGGGGTTAGGGTTTAGGGTTTGGGGTTTAGGGCTTAGGGTTTAGGGTTTAGGGTTCTGAACCTCCGGCTGCCCTGCACATGCCCCTACTCCATCTTTATGGGGGCACGGATCGCTTCCCACTGATACTACATCATCCCCCCCCCCCCCCCCCCCTTTAGGGTTTGCTAGGACCGGGAGTAGGCCCCTTTTTTTAGGGTTGGGGTTCCCCTTATAATCCCCTTAAAGCCAAAAAGGGTACCCTTTTATTCCTAGGTTACTCCCGGGTCTAGTTTGGGTTCAGGGTTTATAGGGTTGAGGGCTAGATCGCCCTTTCTATTCACCGGCTTCAGAGTTGCGAGTTCCGCTTGACATGGCTGCTGCAGAGGCTCCAAACACTTCCGCCAATCCAACGCTTGTGATTCTTCTCCTACTTTGAAGCCTCAAAGGCAGCTGGAAGTAGGGTTTAGGGTTTAGGGTTTAGGGTCTAGGGCTTAGGGTTTAGGGTTTAGGGTTTAGGTTGAACGGATCGCCACAGCTACTCCCGCAAAAAAAGATGTGGCCTCCTACGACTGACGACCCATGAGCCTGCAGGTAGGCCCCGAAACCCTTCGTAGCAGCTGAGTAGGTAACCTTCAACCTTTTGGTGTACATACAATCCTACCATAGTTGAAAGGTTGACCCTTTTTTTGGCCAGGGTGCTCAGCAACTAGGAACCTGCTCACTAGAATCCCTAAACCCTAAACCCTGAACCCTGAACCCTAAACCCTAAACCCTAAACCCTAAACCCTAAACCCTAAACCCTAAACCTTAAACCCTAAACCCTAAACTCTAGATCAGTGAGGACACAATCCCGGTCATTGTGGACGCAGTGGAGGGCAGCTCGCCTCAGATCGCAGCACGCGAGTGGGGGATTCCGAAACTAGGGTTTAGGGTTTAGGGTTTAGGGTTTAGGGTTTAGGGTTTAGGGTTTAGGGGTTGAGGGTTGAGGGTTTAGGGTTTAGGGTTTGGGAGATCGATCCAGTGATTTTTTTGGGTGCCCAAGTCCCTGGTTCACTGCTATGAACCAGTAGTGAACAGTGGGGTTGGATTGCGGGGCTTACCAGGACCTTGGGTGAACCTGCCTACTTTTTGGAGTTAGAGCCTCTGTTTGTACAGGTCCAGCACCCAAAAACGGCAGGTTACACGACGTCCAACGTGGGGTTTCGGGGTTCGGTCCCGGGGAGGCCCTAAACCTTGCCTAGCCCTCGGAATGCTTAAGACTACTTTTGGTAATTCGGTAGTTTTGATATAGGAAATAAATGGCTTAAGCATTCCAAGGGCTTAGCGGTCGGGCTAAGGACTCTGGGAGCTCATGCTCGTTGTGTGATCCAAAGGGGCCTTTTCATATCCAGACCCACAACCTGATCTGTGCAAGCGTGAAGCTCTCAGTCAAGTTGTATCTCTCACACCAACCGGTTAAATTGTGCTGTATCATGATGTTTTGGTAGAAGTCGTTGGTCAGAATAGGCTGTTTTGCCACGACGTTTTTGTTTCGGGCTCGCGTAAATCATGATTGACGTGGTGTGCTTCCACACACTGAACATCAATGGTCAGCTAAAATGCCATCTTTGGTAGGCCACGTTATCTAGTTTTAAGTGTGTTGGCGCCAAGAATGTAGGAGTCAATTGAATGGCTCGTGTGTGTTTGGACACCCAGCTTCCTGAGCAGTTAGTCTTTCTGCCGAATTTATCTCAGATTGGGTGGCTGAAATGTGTTGTCGGATGACCTGTTGGGATCCGGTTGTCAAAACAGACTCCTGTGCCACGACATTTCTCGTTGAAATCACGCTTGCTTTGCAAGTGCCAACACCGTGTGCCCTCGAAAATTCATCCAGGATGATTTCTTCACTGCCGAGATTTGGCCCAAAGCAGGGGCATTTCACAGACGCATGGGTTCACAGCAGGTCCTGTCTCTCGGTGTTAGTGCCACTGTCTTGCATGAAGGTGCTGATTTTTGTTGTTCGCAGGTTATTTTCGGAAACGCACACTGCTCATCTGGCTCCGTGACTCAAACTCTTTGTGAAGTATTGCGCACCTAGCCAATACATGTGGCCCTCCATCGAACGTTCCCGAATGTCCCTAACACTCCGAAAGTTCCTGCGAGGCCGATCCAGAACGAATTTGTGAGGCTGATCCGAACGATCCCGAACGATCCCGAACGATCCCGAACATTCCCGAACGATCCCGAACGATCCCGAACGTTCCTGCGAGGCCGAACCAGAACGATTCTGTGAGGCCGATCCCGAACGATTCCGAACGATTCCGAAGGATCCCGAACGATCCCGAACAATCCCGAACGATCCCGAACGTTCCTGCGAAGCCGATCCAGAACGATTCTGTGAGGCCGATCCCGAACGATCCCGAACGTTCCTGCGAGGCCTATCCAGAACGATTCTGCGAGGCCGATCCCGAACGATCCCGATCCTGCGAGGCCTATCCAGAACGATTCTGTGAGGCCGATCCCGAACGATCCCGAATGATCCCGAACGATCCCGAACGATCCCGAACGTTCCCGAACGATCCCGAACGATCCCGAACGATCCCGAACGATCCCGAACGTTCCCGAACGTTCCCGAACGATCCCGAACGTTCCTGCGAAGCCGATCCAGAACGATTCTGTGAGGCCCATCCCGAACGATCCCGAACGATCCCGAATCCCGAACGTTCCTGCGAGGCCTATCCAGAACGATTCTGCGAGGCCGATCCCGAACGATCCCGAACGATCCCGAACGATCCCGAACGTTCCCGAACGATCCCGAACGATCCCGAACGATCCCGAACGATCCCGAACGATCCCGAACGATCCTGCGAGGCCGATCCTAATTAATTTTAATCAATTTTAAGTCATTTTCATTAGTTTTAATTACTTTTAATTTTGACTAATTTTATTTTATTTTAATTAATTATAATTAATTTTAATTACTTTTAATTAATTTTCATTAATTTCAATTAATTTTAATTAATTTTAATTAATTTTAATTAATTTTAATGTATTTTAATTTTATTTAATTTTAATTCATTTTATAATGAATTTTAAATTAATTTTAAATACTTTTAAGTAATTTTAATGAATTTTAATTAATTTTAATGATTTTTAATTCATTTTAAAATTAATTATTAATTCATTTTAATTAGTTTTAATTAATTTAGAACGATTCCGTGAGGCCGATCCCGAACGATCCCGAATGATCCCGAACGGGCGGGGGGGGGGGGGGGGGGGGGGGGGCGTGGGGGGGGCGGGGAGGGGGCGGGGGGGGAGGGGGGGGGGGTTGGGATCGTTCGGGACACATCGTTCGGGACACAGAATCGTTCTGGATCGGCCTTGTAGGAACGTTCGGGATCGTTCGGGATCGTTCGGGATCGGCCTCACAGAATCGTTCTGGATCGGCCTTGCGGGAACGTTCGGGATCGTTCGGGACCGTTCGGGAACGGCTTCATAGGATCGTTCGGGATCGTTCGGGATCGTTCGGGATTGTTCGGGATCGTTCGGGATCGTTCGGGATCGTTCGGGATCGGCCTCACAGAATCGTTCTGGATCGGCCTCGCAGGATCGTTCGGGATCGTTCGGGATCGTTCGGGAACGTTCGGGATCGTTCGGGATCGTTCGGGATCTTTCGGGATCGGCCTCGCAGAATCGTTCTGGATAGGCCTCGCAGGAACGTTCGGGATCGTTCGGGATCGTTCGGGATGGGCCTCACAGAATCGTTCTGGATCGCAGGAACGTTCGGGATCGTTCGGGAACGTTCGGGATCGTTCGGGATTGTTCGGGATCGTTCGGGATCGGCCTCGCTGAATCGTTCTGGATCGGCCTCGCAGGAACGTTCGGGATCATTCGGGATCGTTCGGGATCGGCCTCGCAGAATCGTTCTGGATCGGCCTCGCAGGATCGTTCGGGGTCGTTCGGGATCGTTCGGGATCGTTCGGGATCGTTCGGGAACGTTCGGGATCGTTCGGGATCGTTCGGGATCGTTCGGGATCGGCCTCGCAGAATCGTTCTGGATAGGCCTCGCAGGAACGTTCGGGATCGTTCGGGATCGTTCGGGATGGGCCTCACAGAATCGTTCTGGGTCGGCTTCGCAGGAACGTTCGGGATCGTTCGGGAACGTTCGGGATCGTTCGGGATTGTTCGGGATCGTTCGGGATCGGCCTCGCTGAATCGTTTTGGATCGCCTCGCAGGAACGTTCGGGATCGTTCGGCACAGAATCGTTCTGGATCGGCCTCACAGGATCGTTCGGGATCGTTCGGGATCGTTCGGGTTCGTTCGGGATCGGCCTCGCAGAATCGTTCTGGATCGGCCTCGCAGGAACGTTCGGGATCGTTCGGGATCGTTCGGGATGGGCCTCACAGAATCGTTCTGGATCGGCTTCGCAGGAACGTTCGGGATCGTTCGGGAACGTTCGGGATCGTTCGGGATCGGCCTCACAGAATCGTTCTGGATCGGCCTCGCAGGAACGTTCGGGATCGTTCGGGATCGTTCGGGATTGTTCGGGAACGTTCGGGATCGTTCGGGATTGTTCGGGATCGGCTTCACAGGGTTCTTTCATCGGGATCGTTCGGGATGGTTCGGGAAGAAGGGGTGGGGGGTGGGGGGGGGTGGGGGGGTGGGGTGGTGGGTGGGGGGGGGTGCGGGGGTGGGGGGGTTGGGGGGGTGGTTGGGGGGGGGAGGGGGGTTGGGGGGAACAACACCTGACAAGAGTGTTTGCCTCCAATAAATCACGTGGAGTACAGCCTATCAACGACAACAAAGCCTATATAACACAGCCAACTGCTGCCGACCACTGTGCACCGATGAAACCCGGACAAAGACAGACGACTCGCGCCGGTTTTGCTTCCAATATACGTCGCAGAGCACAGTTTATCAACGTCAATAAAGCCAACTATTGCCGACCACTGTGCGCCGATTAAACCCGAACAAAGACAGACACCTCATACCAATTTTGTTTCCGATATACATCACAGAGGACAGCTTATCAACGACACAAAAGTCTAATATCAGTCGAATAAAGCCATTTGTTGCCGACCACTGTGCACCTCGCACCAGTTTCGCCTCTAATACACAACGTGGAGCGCAGCTTATCAACGACAGCAAAGCCCCATAAAGCCAAGTATTGCTGACCACTGTGCACCTATTAAGCCAGAATAAAGATAGACACCTCACACCAATTTTGCGTCCAATATACATCGCAGAGGACAGCTTATCAATGACACGGAAGCCTAGTATCTTCAACTGTTGACGACCATTGGGCACCGATTAAACCTGAACAAAGACAGACACCGCACACCAGTTGTGCTTGCAATTTACAATGCACAGCACAGCTTAAAAACAAGAAAAGACGCTTAATAAACGCAACCGCCTTACATCTTTTCCGACATGAATATCAACCACCACGTACGTTTCACGCACGCTTCAAACCCAAAAAAACACTTCAGTAATCCCCCAAAAACATCAGAAACACCAGCCACCTGGCACCAATTAATCATCGCAACAGCCACCCCCCCCGCCCCACAAAAACAAGACAACGACAACCTACCAACACCAATAAAAACAGCCCAAACGATAGCCCCATGCAACACGCCCGGGCCTGCACATAGCACCGTTTCCCCGGTAGTCTTAAGCATTCCGAGGGCTAGCCAACCTAAACCCTAAACCCTCATTGTTGCCATTTGCAAATAGGTTTAGGGTTTAGGGTTTAGGGTTCCATTGTACAGGCCAATATGTTCATGGCGTAGTTGGCCTAAGGTACCTTTTCGGTTTCCTGTTCGGCTAGACCCCAAACGCCTGACGTACTTAGTAGCCCAGTATAGGGCAATTTCCACCTTTCGTTGGTTGTCCGACGCAGTATTTCCTAAAGTCCCGAAAGCCCTGGAGCTTCTGTCTCAGGTTGCTAGACTGCTCTTCGAAGTACTTCATCATGTTGCTTTGGCATATTTATAGGAGACCCTAAGATGCTGCGTGTACAGGGTTTAGGGTTTAGGGTTTAGGGTTTGGGGTTTAGGGTTTCGGGTTTAGGGTTTAGGGTTGTTCTCAGAACAACTCAGGCGTAGGGGTTGAGGGCTCTTGCATGAGGTCCAGCAAGCTCTGCGCAGAACCGAGACCGTGGCCTCAGAAGAGCGAGAGGCTGTGAGGGTTTCGGGGTTACATGAAGGTCATGTGTTCTTACAAGTAGGACGTACGTGCCCTAAATCTCGTTCTGCCAACCCAAACCACGAACCTACATGGTGTTTCGGGGCTCCAGACTAGAAGCTTTAGGGCCTTTAGGGTTTTAGGCAGGGGGGCCCCCCACACACATTGGACACAGCAGCCAGGGGACATCCTCTCCGTCTTCGATGCGGATGACCTCATGCATCCGCAGCGGATAGAACTGATCAGTGCTCTGGCCTTCTGGGGGGCGAAAAGAAAGGCGCTTGGAAGGAAAGTTAGGTTTTTTATATGGGCGGGATACTTTGAAGCTAAGGTGGTGATAGGATGTCTTCGTCACCTAGTAGATCCGAGCGTTCACGTTGAGGGTTAAGGACTTATGGCTCAAGGTTCAGGGTTTCGGTCCCTAAACCCTAGACCCTAGACCCTAAACCCTAAACCCTGAACCCTAAACCCTAAACCCGAAACCCCAATCCCTAAACCCAAAGTAAGGCCTTCATCAAGCCTCAGTCCCGCGAGAAGCCTTCAGTTGGGAGAGCGTTCCCTTGCACCTCCCGTAATCCCTAAACCATAAGCCCTAAACCCTAAACCCTAAACCCTAAACCCTCAACCGTAAGGCCCCACACATGGGATTCCGAAAATAGGGCTACCCTGTCTATTTTTTTTTTTGGCCGGGGGGGGGGGGGGGGGGGGTTCTTATAATCGGGGGTATAATAGGGGTACGCCCGTATTGTGGGAAATGCCCACTTGTAGGAAAGAAGCCTCTATTGGGGACCATAGCCTGACGCCCACCACGCTTTTAGGGCTTAGGGTTTAGGAACTTCTGGTACTTCTGACATAGACACACAGAATAAACAATAAACAATCGTGATTCATCCGGGGATAGCCATAGTTGTCTTACGTACAACCCCCCATTTATGCAGTACCCATGAACCTCCAGGTACACTCTTCATCGTTCAGCCCCCTAAACCCTGAACCCTAAACAGTAAACCCTAAACCCTAAGCCCAAAACCCTAAACCCTAAAGCCTAAACCCTAAAAACCCTAAACCCTAAACCCTAAACCCTAAACCTCTAAACCCTAAACCCTAAACCCTAAACCTCTAGACCTTCACTTGTCGCACAAGGCAAAGCCTTCCATGCAAAGCCGGATCTCAAGCTCTTGCTGCACAGCACCCTGTCTGGGATGTGCATGCGGGGCTCGGTTTAGGTGTTTCGGGTTTAGGGTTTCGGGTTTAGGGGTTAGAGTTTCCGTACTTCAAGGCGTCATGCGGGGCTCGGTTTGGGTGTCTAGGGTGTTTAGGGTGTTTAGGGTGTTTAAGTTGTTTAGGGTGTTTAGGCTGTTCAGGGTTCGGGTGGTTCAGGGTTGAACAGGTTCAGAGTTTAGGGTGTGCCTACCTAAACCCTAAACCCTAATCCTAAAATCCTACATCCATAGAGGGTTTCTTGGCATCCAGGCGTCGGTGCAACACGGGTGGAAGTTAACTAGGGCTTAGGAGGCGTTGAGGGTCCGCGCTTCCTACATCTGGGCGGCAAGGTTGGGATGTTCCCCCTTGTACTTACAGGCCTTACTAAGGACTCTCATGGGGGGGAGGGGGGGGCTACTAGAATCCCTATTAAGGGACTGCTAGTATAAGGAATATACTTACAGTCCTTAATAGGGATTCTCATAGGGGGGGGGGGGGGTACTAGAATACCTTTTTTCAGGACTGCTATATACTATTTTTTTTTCAGGACTGCTAGTCTAAGGGAAAAAACAGCCCAACGGCAAGGTTACTTCCCCCTCTTCAACAACAGCCAACCTCGGACCTGCCCACACTACGACCTCAACGACCGCTTGCACGTGCACCGCGGCGGAAGCTGCCTGAAACCCCCTAAACCCTAAACCCCTAAACCCCGAAACCCCTAAACCCCTAAACCCCTAAACCCCTAAACCCCTAAACCCTAAACCCTGTATCCTGAGCTCTCTTCAGTCTAAAGCCCCCCTTATCGGCCCTAAACCCTGAAACTCTGAACTCCTAGGCCCTAAATTCCCACACACACACACACACCCCTCAAACTGGAAGCCGGAACCCCCCCCTAAACCCTAAACCCTAAACCCTAAACCCTAAACCCTAAACCCTAAACCCTAAACCCTAAACCCTACATGTCCTCCCCCGCAGCCCTGCTAAGCCCCTAAGCTCTGGGCTCAGTTCTTATAAGGGTTTATGAGGGTTGAGGGTTTGGGGGTACCCTACACAACCCCTCCTCATCCGGAGAGGCCTTTCACTTGTTGTAGGGTTTAGGGTTTAGGGTTTAGGGTTTAGGGTTTAGGGTTTAGGGTTTAGGGTTTCCCTCAAGTATCAAACCATCTTCGCTTCTTCAACTGAGGGTCTTCTTTGGCGTCCCTGTGGTTCTTGCGGCCCCTTACCTATTCCTACCTTGTACAACAGTTTCAATATACACGCACATACGTACATACATACATACATACATACATACATACATACATACACACACATACATACATACATACGTACATACATACATACCTACGTACATACATACATACATACATACATATATACAGCTCCAGGGATTTAGGGTTTAGGATTTAGGGTTTAGGGTTTAGGGTTGGTTTCTGTGCGGATGTTGGACCTGTTTTGCAGTTGGGTTTGTGTTTGACCACGAGCTTGGGGTGGTTGGGGCATATGCGGGTATACGTATGTTTGTATGCAAATACACACACACACACACATTATATGTATGTAATAAGACATTCACACACACACACACATATATATATATATATATATGTATATATATATAGATACATATACATATATAGACATATATGCATTTATCTATATGGATATAGTTGGTTGAGGTTTTTGGGTTTTATGTGTATTTATGAACCCCATGGCAGGCAGAGCCCCACCCCCACCCCCCCCCCCCCCCCCATCTCCCCCCCCCTTCCCTCCGCCCCCATCCAAGGTTGCCAAGCCGGGACTTGGCCATCATGGAGGAGGCGACGCGCCAGGCGCTGACACTTATATGTAGGGTTATAAGTGCCTGCAGTACCCCCACAAGGCACCCCCTCCCCCTCCCTGCCCCTTAACGATTGAAGTTTGGTTTTTTGGTGGGGAGTTTCAGGTTTGAGCCCTAAACCCTAAACCCTAAACCCTAAACCCTAAACCCTAAACCCTAAACCCTACATAGAACTGTGATTTTGGGAGCTCGGGCCTGGGCCTAAGGGTGTGGGGTTCTTCATTTGGTTCGAGCTAAACTCCTATCTTGCCGGTGCAAGATCTGGGTAAAACTCCCTAACCCAAAACCCGAAGGCCCCCAAAACCTTCACCTTAAACGATGGATCATGTAAAAACCCTAAGGCCTGAACCCTAGAAACCGGGGCAGGGCGCCGGAACGCAACCCCCAAAAAGCCCCCATACCCCAAAGCGACCCCAAAACCTTACAACCCTAAACCCTAAACCCCTAATTCCCTAAACCCCCAAAACCAAACCCAAAACCCCGAGGCCACCCTCAAACCCTTGAACCCTACACCCCAAAGCCCGACCACCCTATAGAACCCCACGAAGCTCCGAAGGCACATTTCCCCAAATAGTGGTAACCCTTACACGCCCCGAAATACTATAATCCTTCTTCTTGGACCCCCCAAAATGGGTCATTACCCATGTTTTCGGAAACCCTAAGCCCTAAACCCTAAGCCCCAAACCCCAAACCCTAAACACTAAGCCCGAAACTCCAAACCCTAAACCCTAAACCCAGAACCCTAAACCCTAAACCCTAAACCCTAAACCCTAAACCCTAAACCCTAAACCCTAAACCGGAAGGTCGCCCACCTCCACGACACGGTCCACGAGATTTTCAACTCGGGGATTGCCATGAGTCGTGAGGCACCGGCTCGTTTTTTTTTTTTTTTTTTTTTTTTTTTTTTTTTTTTTTTTTTTTTTTTTTGGGGGGGGGGGGGGGGACTTTTTGCGGGGCTTTAATTTAGGGTTTAGGGCTTAGGGTTTAGGGTTTAGGGTCTTTGAGGTAGATCTCTCTACCTACCTGGAAGTTTATGGTTTGGGTTTCTGGGGTTTGGGGTTTAGGGTTTAGGGCTAGTGTTTTGGGGGGGGGGGGGGGGGGTGACCCTAGAGTACTATTTGCTTAAGAACCCCCTCCCAAAAAAGTTTCCGCATATGGGCAATATAGGGATTCGCTAAGATCCTTCTACACCCTCCAAACCCTCTGCACCCTGTAAGCCCTATAAACCCTAGATCCTTTCCTAGGAAGGCTTGCATAAGATGGCTAGACCTTGCTACATGTACACCCAAAATGTCCCCCGCTTCTGAACCCTAGACCACTAAAGCTCCCATAAATTTCCCAAAGCTGAAACCTAGAAATCCCTAAACAACTTCAAGCTACATAAATCTGTAGTCAACGCCGGGACAACACAAAGAAAGATCTTAGATCAAGCTTCGCTCCCCCCGGAAACAAAAACCTTCGACACCCTTGAAGCCCTAAGCCCTAAACCCACGCAGGTTGTGGACATCTACACTTACAGTGACACGCCGGAGGCTGCCACAAAGGAGGCCCTGGCGCGTATGTCCTGTTTGAAAGATCTTCTGAGGGAATAGGGTTTAGAGTTCAGCCCGGAGTACGTTAAGGGAACTTCGTAGGGTAGGGGTAAAAGTTTGAGACGACCATGACAGTATGTAAGCCCTGTAGCCGAGCTCAGGTAGGGTTGAGGCTTAGCAGTTAAGACCTTACAAGTTTTGACTTTTTGGCGTCCTAAATGTATTATATTGTTCACTATTCTGAGAACCGCAAACTCCAAAAGGGACACGAACGTAGGGAACTTGACACACACACACACACAAAGAAAAAGCCTGAACCCTGCTGAACCCTAAACCCTAAACCCCAAGCCCTAAACCCTAAACCCTGAACCCTAGACCCTACACCCTAAACCCGAAGCCTTGGCCCTGGGCTTGGCTTTGTTGGGGAGGACGACTCGGGCTTCGTACGAGCCGTCGTCCGAGGCCGGGGGCCCTGCGGTCCCTGAAGCCCTTACTTACACCATCCAGGGTTTAGGGTTTAGGGTTTAGGGTTTAGGGTTTAGGGTTTAGGGTTTAGGGTTTAGGGTTTAGGGTTTAGGGTTTAGGGTTTAGGGTTTAGGGTTCAGCATCTCAAGTCCAAGCATTCACTAGTCAAGCAGCTTGTCAAACGTTGGAAAAATACCCACCCACCCACCCAAGAATCCCATAACATTTAGAAATACAAAGTTCACTCAGTACATTCCCAGTGAAACCTTGGAGCCTTAAACCCTATGCCCCCAGGCCCGGGCTGGATCTAAACCCTATGCCCCAAACCCTAGGGCCTAACCCGCTATGCCCCTAAGACCCTAGACGGGAGCCCAGACGGGGGGGAGCCCAGGATTCCGCCAAAAGTGGCCGTTTTCAGCTGAGTTTTAAATGGAACTTATATGGCAGAAATCACCACCCTCAGTTTTCAAATTCTGGTTCCGGGCCCAGGACCCTATGCCGACGAAGGGTGTCAGGGTTTAGGGCCCAGAAAAAACCACATGCCGACGAAACCCATTAGGGCTTAACTATACATAGTAAGAGTAAGAGAGGGTTGAGAGTTTAGGGTTAGGGTTTACAGTGTTTTATGGGGTGTGTACAGGTTTTTTTTTTTTATTATAAGGCTTTATAGCACCGTGTTGTGTTCAGAGAGATTGAAGCCCTGTTTGCAGATTCGTGGGTAATGACTTACAAGTAGGGTTATAGATGCCCTAAGTAAGGTTACAAGCATGGATACCCCACCTAAGCACCTATAAGTACCCATGAACCTCCAAGTTAGGTTTGCGTGCATTAATGCTTTCTTCGGTGGGGGGCGCTGGGGCCCCGGGCCTTGGCGGCATCTTTCACGCTTAAGTTTTTGGACTTAGGGCATCAGGGCTCAGGGTTTCAGGTTTTTGGTTCGGGGTATTTGATGCAGGGTCATAGGGCGCTTCAGGGTTGAGGGTTTTATGCTAAACCCTAAACCCTAAACCCTAAACCCTAAACCCTAAACCCTAAACCCTAAACCCTAAACCCCCTAAACCCCATGCACCCCAAGTAGCTGAGGCTTTAGGGCAGCAAGGGTTCGGCTTGAGAGGTGCGGAGCGACGAGCAGGTGAATGCTTTCTCAAAGGCATGCACCCTGCCTCCAGATAAAACAAAAAGTCGGAACCCTGAACCCTGAACTACTGCAAAAGCTGTATGAGTATCCCTAAACCCTAAACCCGAAACCCTAAACCCTAAACCGCCAGGCTACGGTGCGAGAGATGGCCCGAGACATCTGGAGGAGGGGGATTGGGCACTGTGCCATGGCCCATGAACCTCCAAAAGGTTCAAAGGTGTATAATCATAGAAGGGAACCCAAGCCCTAGAAAAACGGAATCAACCTGAACCCTAACCGAAACCCGCAACCCTAAACCCTAAACCCTGAACCCCAAACCCCTAAACCCCAAACCCCAAACCCTGAACCCAACTCTGAGTCCCAGTTCAGGGTACTTGTGAAGGGCAACCCCCTTTTTGAACAGGTCACAACCTTGTCTAGGGTACTTCGAACAATACTTAAAAGAACCCAATGAACCTTCATGTAGAACACAAGATACCCAAGTTCAACTCCCAAGGAACTTAATCTGCGTCATGGGTAGACTCAACCTCGAATTCTTATACATCCTCAGACCGCAGCATCGGAGGGCGGCACGATAATAAGGGACCCGTAATCTTGACCCCCATATTTGGTAGCATCCTCTGATAAGGAGGACCCCAATAAGGTAACCCCTAATATCGCAAAACCCCCACATTATGGATCTGGCATTAAACCCCAGACTCTGCACTCTCGTCGGAGGGTATTTGGGTTTAGGGTTGAGGGTTTAGGGCTTAGGGTTTAGGACGCTTTCCCAGGTATCTTGATGCTGAGCTCGCCTGGTACCGGCGCACGGGCTCGCGGCGGCGGACGGCAAAAGATGCGCAGAGTAAGGACAAAATGCGCGGGTTCACGGTTGAAATTCCAGGGTTTAGGTTTGTTGAGATTGTTGAGGGTTCAGGTTCGGGGAAAGTTTCGAAGAGTGTTTGTTTTGTTTTTCTTAATAATTTCAAGTTACAGGGGCGGGGGGCTTGAGGGTTTAGGGCTTAGAGTTTAGGGTTTAGGTTCTGCTCCCCCCCCCCCCCTTCAGTGGAATGCTTTTCTTCCTGCGGGAATGGTCCCTTCTTTTCCCAGGGTCATCAAAAGCAACTGCTCTTTGATTGATATCCGAATGTCCTAAGCTTTTCAGAACACTTCTACAAGCCGTAAACTCTAAACCCCAAACCCCAACCCCAATTCCTTAACCCTCAAACACGATACAAACAGGCCAAAGGGGGCCAGGATTCATTCTTCGAAGATAGGGAATGACTTTAGGAAGTAGGGCTTATAGGGCTTGGGATGTTCCCCCTTCTAAACAGTCCTTACTAGGGATTCTAGTACGCACTACAAATAATGTCATTAAGAGCTGTTAGTATAAGGGGGGCCATCCCAAGGTTTAGGGCTTATGACCTATAAGGTTTTGGGCTTTTTGGGCTTAGGATCCCAGGCGCCCGTGCACCCTGGTTACGACTTCTCGCAGAAGCGCAACCAACCATCAACCCCTACCTATCTGTTACATTCTGTTTATAGACATATACATGTATGTCTATATAGAGAAAAACCATATAAGTTTATGAATATACATATATATATATACACAATTTGCCTAGACAAAAAGCTCTATATATATATATATATAAGTGTATGTATATATATGTACATATATATATACATATATGGCTATCTACGTACGTATGTAGGCCTGTGCGTAGGTATAGACATGTACAAGAGCCACCAAACTCAGGTGCCGGCTTGGAGCCGCGACACCTGCTTCTCAGTGGGGTCCCCCGGGAGTTTAGGGTTTGGGGTTTAGGGGTTAGGGTTTAGGGTTTAGGGTTTTTCTGTTGAGGGTTCAGGGTTCAGGGTTTAGGGTTGCTGGCAGCAAGTCTGGGATTGAGGTTTCCCTGTTTAGGGTATAGCCTTGCACGCCGATTAGTTTTTGTATGGAAGTGCACAACTCGTAGAGCCAAGGCGTCTCATGGCTTCGGTGATGGAAGCGTTCAAACCTTGCTGAAAAACGCAGCGAAAGAACACAAAAAACAAACCAAACCAGCTGCTGCACAACATGTGCGGGCCGAAGTTTGGGTTTAGGGTTTAGGGTTTAGGGTTTAGGGTTTAGGGTTTAGGGTTTAGGGTTTAGGGTTTAGGGTTTAGGGTTTAGGGTTTAGGGTTTAGGGTTTAGGGAAATGTGTTAGTGTTTCGGGCAAAAGGGAACCCAATGTGCCTCAACACTCCCGAATATTCCCCAGGGGCTCCCAAGAGCCTCCTTAAGGTTCCTGGCTGCCTCCAGGGATTGCAGGGTTTAGGGTTAGGGTTTAGGGTTGAGGGTTTAGGGTTAGGGTTTAGGGTTTAGGTTTAGGGTTTAGGGTGTAGGGCGTAGGGTTTAGGGTTGGGCATCTTGTCTTCAACAAGACCGGTGCTGGATTCCGATAAACACCACGGCTCCGCTGAAGGTGACGAGTACGTGGCGTCCATGCTTCGCGTGGGGCGATTGATGGACCTGGCGGGAGGACTCAGATTTCCTGGGTTTTGGAGAACTAGCTTCAGTGCTTTTTTGGTTCTGGGTGCCTATTTTAGCTGCTGATACCTAAACGTATAGACTTGTTTTCCAGGGTCTACTCCAAAGTAAGGTTGCCCTGAGGTCTGAACCGTAGTAGCCGAGTAGAGTAGAGAAAGCTCTAAGCTTCTCGGGTACACGTGTTGTCATATTCATCCCTTTGTTGTTATTATTATTAGTATTTTTTTTTTCGGGGGGGGGGGGGGTTGGGGACGGGGCGGGGGGGTTTGTACAGGACCGTCAAATGATAATGATAATGGGGGGGGGGGGGGGGGGGGGGGGAAGACCCTATTACCTCTAAGCATATCAAGTAGACGCCAAACCCTAAACCCAAATCCTTTTTGCAAAAACAAACTTTATGGCTTCTTGGATACTGGACGCCTACGAAGCACATTAGGCGCCCCATCCAAAAGCAGCTAAACAAGGGAAGCCTTACTAGCAAAGGACCGTACCGTAGGGTTGTGTTGAGGTACTTGGAACATTTACCATTTCATAATTGCCGATGTTGGGTTTAAGGGATCTTACTTAGGGCCAACCTAGATGAAGATCATTCGACATGTCAGAGAGAAATAGAATGCCCAGGGAGCTATTCCCCACAAGCACTGAACAACCCTAAGCCCGCAACAGTTTGAATCATGACCTGGTGGGCCCCGATCTTCGATTCCTAAATGGCTCACTTGAGGAAGACACGTGTTCCCTATCTGATGGTTGAGGGTTTAGGGTACGCCTGCGCCCATTGCATGGGACCCTTGCGTGTCAGCCTATGATTCTCAGAGGCACAGTCTGTTTGCTTTGTTGGTTGTAAGGGGTTTAGGGCGTTTGGGGTTGATGGTGAACTTCAAAAAACATGGAAGGAAGAGCAATCGGCTGCTTCTGTTCTTTTCGAAGCCGCCAGGGAACGCAGTGACTAGATCAATCCCAAATGTGGCTCACCCTAATACGTTTGGCCCTTGGCCCGAACCCTAAACCCCTATAAGCCCTAAGCCCTCGAACCCCTGCACCCTAAACAGGGTTGTAGGGTTTAGGGCCTTAGGGGTTTAGGGGTTTGGGGTCTAGGATTTATAGGGTTTTGGGTTTGGGGCCGAAAACCCATAAAGCCCTTGAAGCCCTAAACCCTAAGAACCCGCCAACAAGCCCAGACCCAGTACTCAGGTGTCGAGCCCTTCCAGGTACAAGGTGCCGATACTCCGATCGCTTTTGTTCTTTCGTTTGGTCAGGGGGTCTAGGGGGGTTTAAGGTTTTTTTTTTTTTGGGGGGGGGGGGGGGGGGGAGTTTGGGTTTTAGGACTTGGGGTCTGGGCTTTTGGGTTATTTGGGGTTTGGGTGTCCGGTGTGAGTTGGGGTTCGGGGTCTAGGGGTTGGGTCGCACCGCCCTGGTTTGGGTGTGTGCCTTTGTGTGAAAAACCCTAAACCCCAAACCCTAAACCCTAAACCTTAGGGTTTACACCGGGAGGGGGATGCCACGTGTGGGAAAGTGTGCTTCTTTGCTCGACTGGCGGGGTGGGCAGTGTAGTATCCGTACCCCCTCCCCCACAAAAAAGCGGACACGCCATATTCCACTCACACTTTATACTCTCAGCAAAACCAGGAACACAGATCCTGCGTTCTGTGAGTGAAGAGCGATAGAGTTGGCCATACACGCTGAACGTTAAACTCTCTCTCTCTCTCTCTCTGCCTCTCTCTTTTTCTCTCTGGCGACCTTACGCCCCTGGAGTTCCTGGTCCTAGATAACGGAAAACCCCCAAAACCTAAGCTTCAAGAGCCTGGGTTACCCTAAACCCTAAACCCTAAACCCTAAACCCTAAACCCTTGAGGATGGAGGCCATGCCCTAGAAAGCGCCTGGGAAGCCCGATCACACTCCGAAAAGCAAACCCCAAAAGCCTAAAGCTCTAAAACCCTAAAACCTTAAAATCCCAAAGCCCCAAAACCCAAAATCCCTAACACCCTAAACCCCTAGAACCCTTAAAACCCTAAACACCGAAAACAAATTAGGGTTTAGGGTTTAGGGTTTAGGGTTTAGGGTTTAGGGTTTAGGGTTTAGGGTTTAGGGTTTAGGGTTTAGGGTTTCAACAACGGGGCCAGGTGTGGGATCGCTCTGGCGGGAAGACCCTCCTCTTCGCGTCCTCTGTGCCGGTCGCCATCTCCCTCCTTCGAGGCCTCGGTTCCTAGGGGCTTTAGAGAGGGCCTTAAGGTTTAGGGTTTAGGGTTTAGGGTTTAGGGTTTAGGGTTTAGGGTTTAGGGGGCCTAGGGTTTAGGGTTATAGGCTAGGGTTTGGGGAGGGGTTAGGGTAAGGCCTGCAGTCCAAGGACGCAGGCACTAAAAAGCACCAAACCTCTTCGGTTTGGGGGATTGGGGTTTGGGGTTCAGGGCTCGGGAAATGCATCCCTCTAGACCCGAACGCGCTTGGGATTTTGCGTTTAGGGTTTCATGGTTTGGGGTTTGGGAAGGTGATGGGGCTCATTTCAAAGTCTGTTCGTGTATGAGCCAAACCCTACGTCATTTCTGTGCGCAGGACCTTGCAGAAGCTCCACTGGCACAGGGACACTCATCTTGGAGATTCGGGCCTTCGCTTGAAGACCCAAAGCCTAAACCCTAAACCCTAAATAAACTCTTCCCCCAAGCCCTAAACTCTAAGAATCAGCTGTTTCACTTATGTTGATCGCCTTGGCTCCAAGTCCGTGTCAACCCTGAACCCCAAAACCCCACAAACCCTAAGCCCTAGACCCTAGACCCTAAACCCTAAACCCTATACCCTAAACCCTATAAACCCTAAACCCTGAACCCTAACCCTAAACCCTAAACCCTAAACCCTAAACCCTAAACCCTAAACCCTAAACCCTAAACCCTAAACCCTAAACCCTAAACCCTAAACCCTAAACCCTAAACCCTAAACCCTAAACCCTAAACCCTAATCAATCTCGGCCAGGTCTTTGCTTCTTCCACGGCCTCAGCTTCGACACGCCCCTTCGGCTCCCTTTGCGCAGCGTTTATTTGTTTAGGGTTTAGGGTTTAGGGATTAGGGATATTGGGTTTAGGGTTTAGGGTTTAGGGTTGAGGGATATTGGGTTTAGGGTTTAGGGGTTTGGGGTTCAAACCCTAAAGCCCTAAAGCCTCAGCATTTGGAGTCTTGAAGGGTCTGAATTGGATTTGGGGTTGCATGTTAGGGTTTAGGGTTTAGGGTTTTAGGGTTTAGGGTTTAGGGTTTAGGGTTTAGGGTTTAGGGTGTTGGGTTTAGGGTTTAGGGGATTTTGGGGGGTTCGTATCCTTAACCCAGAGCCCCTGCCAGCCTGGGCGTTTTCATGCACCGCCTCACGTTTCGTGAGTCCAGAATCCAAAAACCGAGGGGGCTCGCTTCTGCTGTGTAAATCTTGTACATCATTATCCTTGGCAGCCCAGTGGTACCCTTTACACTTTTTTCGGGTTCTGTGTTCTTTTATGAAGAAACCAACCCCAAAAAGGGTGCCCTTATTGTAATATGGTTGCTGGGCTACCAAGTAATGCTGTGAACATCATTAATGCTGGAATCTGACATTCTTCCCCGAACCCGCGGGATACCCTCTCGGAAGAGGACTCAGGGCTTCAAACTTCAAAGGGGGCCTCACGAAAATGGGGGGACCCCCAATAGAGTCCCAAATCGTCGGATTCCCTTACAACAAGGACCCCACAATAAGGCACCCCCCCAATTCCGTAAACACCCAAAGGGGCCTTCTAGTGGCTTCTGGGGCCGGTTGCGGCCTCTACAGTTTAGTGTTTAGGGTTTGGGGTTTAGGGTTTAGGGTTGTTGGTTGTTGCCCGTCTGGGTTCAGACCTAAGTGTCATATCCACGCAAGTGTCTGTCCACGGAGACCATCCGTACACGCAGGCCACGGAACTGTCCACGGACCCCATTGTCCACGGATGTGTTTTTTTAGGGACCCGAGGGAGGGAGGGAGGAAGCAGTGCGTTTTCGAGGCCTTCCAAAACGCACTTTGCTTGCAACTGGAGCTGCAACTGGAGGGTGGGAGGAAGCAGTGCGTTTTCGAGGCCTTCCAAAACGCACTTTGCTTGCAACTGGACGGAGGTAAGGGAGAAAGGAAGAGGGCGGGACTTCCAAAACGCACTTTGCTTGCGACTGGAGGGAGGGGCGGCTTATGGTCTCGTTTCACAGAATTACATGCTGATAGGGGCTCTGGTGCGTTTAGGGTGGTGGCCAAAACGCACTGAGCTCTTTTTGTCGGCGATTCGCACTGTGCATCCCAGCTGGTCCAGGCCAAGTCCTGGTGGAGTTTCGACATGCTTTACTGGTTGTAAGGCGCTTTCGGAATCAGGGTCTATTTTGGATCTAGGAAACCCTAAACCCTAAACCCTCTAAACCCTAAACCCTAAACCCTAACCCTAAACCCTAAAGCCTCCCGAGTCTAGGGGTTTAGGGGCACGACCCAGGGCCTTCACGGCGTTGAGGGTTTAGGGCAGATGTGGACCTTCAGAGATTGGGGTTTTTGGTTACACTTCCCCCTTCCGCCCCCGCTCTTCCCCTCCCCCCCCGTGCGTTTTGGGGGGCCTGCAAAACGCACCCCCCCTTCCCCCTCTTCCCCCCCCCTTCTCCCTCCCCCCCCCCCCCCCCCCTCCCCCCCCATGCGTTCTCCCCCCCCCCTCGCCTCCCTTCCCCCCCTTCCCTCTTCCCCCTCCCCCCTCCTACTTTTTTGACCTGCAAAACCTTCCCTGCACCCCTCCAGGCAAAGCCCCCCCCCAACCCCCAAAACACATTTTGCTCGGGTGGGGGGGGAGTCAGTTTTGCAGGCCTTGAGACCAAATAAGTGGGGGGGGCTTTGCTTGGAGGGGTGCAGGTCCAAAAAGTAGGAGGGGGGAGGGGGAAGAGGGAAGGGGGGGGGGAGGCGGGGTCTTCCAAAACGCACGGGCGGGGGGGGCGGGGGGGGGGGGGGGAAAGAGGGGGAAGGGGGGGGTGCGTTTTGCAGGCCCCCCAAAACGCACGGGGAGGGGAGGGGAAGAGCGGGGGCGGAAGGGGGAAGTGCGTTTTGCATAAACCAAAAACCCCAATCCCTGAAGGTCCACATCTGCCCTAAACCCTCAGCGCCGTGAAGGCCCTGGGTCGTGCCCCTAAACCCTAGACTCGGGAGGCTTTAGGGTTTAGGGTTAGGGTTTAGGGTTTAGGGTTTAGAGGGTTTAGGGTTTAGGGTTTCCTAAATCCAAAATAGACCCTGATTCCGAAAGCGCCTTACAACCAGTGAAGCATGTCGAAACTCCACCAGGACTTGGCCTGGACCAGCTGGGATGCACAGTGCGAATCGCCGAGAAAAAGAGCTCAGTGCGTTTTGGCCACCACCCTAAACGCACCAGAGCCCCTATCAGCATGTAATTCTGTGAAACGAGACCATAAGCCGGGCCACGCAGACCACGGAAACGTCCACGCAGCCACCGGCCACGCATGTGGAAATGACACTTAGGTTCAGACTCGGCTAGCACAGTGAGAGAATGACAACAAGAAGCCTTCTTTGTTAGTGGGGTGTGGAGGCCTATAGAGCCCGAAAGGGAATAGAACGCGTGGGGGGTGGGGCTCCTGAGCTATGCAAGCGTGCGATAGGGAGTGCGTCCCTAGACCTACGCGCGTACACTGATGCATACCCTAAACCCTATAAACCCCAAACCCTGTACACCCCATAAACCCTACATACCCTATAAATCCTACACACCCTATAAACCCAATAAACCCCAAAAACCCTATAAACCCCGTAAGCCACCCTAAATCCTAAACCCTAAACCCTAAACCCTAAACCAAGGTAAAACCCTAAACCCAATGTTCGTACGACCTTTAGCGTCTATGTGAGTAATCCTCTGTGTTTTATTACCAGAGATAACCGTTTCAAGTGTTTCAAGTGATTCAAAAACACCCTTGAAATACTTGAAACAGTTTTCTCCCCCAGAGAAGTGTTTCAACACACTTTCCTCCCCCAGAAAAGTGTTTCAAAACACTTTTCTACCTCAGAAAAGTGTTTCAACACACTTGAAACACTGTCCTCCCCCAGAAAAGTGTTTCAAGCGTTTCAAGTTTCAAGTGTTTTAACGGGTTTCGGAAACTCCAGAGAGTTTCACCAACCCCTTAAAATATTTCAAACACTTGAAACACCTGAAACATGTTTTCCGCCCAGAAAAGTGGTTCAAAACACGGTTCTGCCCCAGAAAAGTTTTTCAAAACACTTGGAGCACTTGAAACACTTTCAGAAAAAGTGTTTCAAGTGTTTTAATGGGTTTCGGAAACTCCAGAGAGTTTCCCCAACCCATTAAAACACTTGAAATACTTGGACCGCAGCAGAGAAAAGCGAGGTGGGCAAACATGTTCCTGGTGCAATCGCACCCGCCTTTTGTTTCTTGTGAAATGGTTTAGGGTTTAGGGTTTGGTGTTTAGAGTTTTATGGTTTAGGCTGCATTCCAGCTTAGGCCTTCTGTTCTGGCGGCAATGACACAAGTCCTGCACGGTTCCGGCCGCTGTACCTTCGACCCGACTGCTGCGCTGCCCCCAGCACGTGATCTCGCAAATCAACTGCGAGCTATAGAAACAGCCTGGGCAGACCGGCCGTACATGACTTTTACGCAACGTGGCAAAACCAAGTGCAACCAGCTGTAGCAGACGTGCTGCACGCTAAGCGCAACATAGGCGATGTGGTGCAGGACCCCCCAAGCGTAAATCAGAGATGGATTCTTGCTTGTTGCAGCGATCCAAGAACAGCCTGCGCATCCTCACCAATGGACCAAGCACGTCCCGGGCTGTGGAGATTTTCTTGCCTGTCACGCCTTAAACGTTTTGTCGGATGTTATGCCTACGGCAGACGGCCTTCTCTTCTTCAGTCCTACCCACATGACCATCTGCGGCAATGGCGCTATCAAGGCACTCGCCCGCCTTTTCCCCAAACGGATGCTTCGGTGCTCTACCAGCCAGGAGACTTTGCGCGCTTGCTTGACAGACTTGCTGCGCCACGTGTTCCAGTCAGATTACGCTGGTGGGTGGCAACAAAATATCCATCGCAAACATCGAGCACAGCTTGCGCGAGTGGGTCAGATGGTGCCTAGCCGTTTTCTGGAAGCAATCGCGCAGCGACGACCAGCGACCCGGCGCTGCCGAAGGGTCAAGACGTAGCCAGGGCCAGGAAGGATGGTGGAGCCAGCCCAGAGTCCTTGCGCGCCCTGCAGAGCCGTGCAGACTTCCTAGGCGGTGGAAATCGCAGCGGCGCAAGAATCCATGATTCGCTGTCTCGCCTGTGCTCTCAGGTGGGAGGTTCTGCAGGCATGTTTGAACCGACAGGTCTAGCACACCCCGCGCCGCCCCCACCGCCGCCGCCGCAAAGCACATTTCACCGGGCGCATTCACCTTCCTGCTCCGGCCGATGCTGATGAGCGGCAGCCAAGGTGAAAAGGTTTTCTGCAGGGTAGATGGAGAGCATGCAGTTTTGCTGGATTTCCTATGCTTCGATGTGAAGCTTTTGGCTGGCTTTGCGTTGAAGGATTGCAGCCCACTGTTTTTGGAAAGGTGCGTGGGCCCTAAACCTTGTCCCTAGACCTTATATCCCTAAACCTGTAACTCCAAACCCGAAACTCTAAACCGAGACAGCCCAATCAAGTGAAACCACGACGAAGCCCAAATGAACTTCCATTTTGGTTTCTCTCAGCCTCGATGCGGAGCTTTTCGCTGACTTTTCAACAACATGTATCAATGAAGTGCACGCGTGCACGCAGTGACACTTTGCGAGCGAATGCCGCAGTCACCGCAGTCGTGAGTGGATCGGAGGTCCAGATGCGACACCTGAGAACTTTCGCGCCCACCCACACCGCCCAATCGGTGGAAGTGCACGCCCTCTCGCCCTACCCTTTTGTGTAGTGCGGGGTGAGCGGTGCGTGACACGACGCCTGCCGACTCAATCCATCTGAAAGAGATCTGCGTCTGCGTTGCTTGGTTTGTGTGCATTTGCATGTGTTGGAATGCCGAAAGAAGCGAGCGTGTCAGGAACCAAAGTCAGAACGATGCCGTAGCTGGGTTTTCAGTCCGGCACATACCCGAGCCCTAAACCCTAATCCACCCTGTGTTTTTCTTGGCCCTGCCCTCTACAGGGAGGGTGCGCGGTGAGGCGGGGGCAGGATCAATAAACACACAGGGTTTAGAGGGGGGGGTTTAGGGTTCAGGGTTTACTTCGGGTTGAGCCCTAAGCCCTAAGCCCAAATTAAACCCTCTGAGCCTTGAGCCCTAAACCCTATAAACCCTGTGAGCCCTAAGCCCTAAACCCTAATTGTTCCCCTGTGTTTTGCTTGGTCCTGCCCTCTACAGGGAGGGTGTGCGGTGAGACCACTTGGAGGCAGGATCAGGGTTTAGAGGGGAAGTTAGGGTTTAGGGTTTACTTAGGGTTTATAGCCCTAAGCCCTAAACCCTCTGAGCCTTGAGCCCTAAACCCTATAAACCCTGTGAGCCCTGAGCCCTAAACCCTAATTGTTCCCCTGTGTTTTTCTTGGTCCTGCCCTCTACACGGAGGGTGTGCGGTGAGACCATCTGGCAGCTTTAGGGGGGGGTTGAGGGTTTAGGGTCAACCCTGCGCTTTGTCATCGGGAGCGTCGGTGATTTTCGAGACCTCTTCTGGCCTCCTTTGGCCTCTTCTGTCCCTCCCTCACTGTTTGGGTGCTACGCCGGCATAGTTTTTTTGACAGTTTTGGCTTTCGCAAATCCCCATCAAGGCGAAAACATAGGGATTCTCGCTAGTCTGGCAGCTTTGGAAAAACTCCGGGGGGGGCCCACGAAATTTAAAGATTGCAAGATTTGTTTAACAATAATTGGTCGTCCTGGGGACCTTCCTGCGGGATCAAGAAATTTTCAGATTTTATGGTTCTAACAATACATGTGTCGTCCCGAGGACCTCCCCGGAGAGGTTCGGGGACGACCAAAATTATTTTATAACCTTAAACCCCTAAAATTCCCTGTCCCCCGGGACCAAGAAACTTTAAGATTTTAAGTTGTAAATATTAACTTGCTTAAAACCCGTAATTTCGAGGTCCCGAGGTCCTTCCTTGAGAGGTCAATAGGACACATATATGGTAAACAAAGTGCATGTGAGGCAGGGGCGGGGGGTAGTACTTTCGGGAATGAAACTTAGGGCTCACGGTTACAGGATTCCGAGTTGAGAGCGTATAGGCTTTCAGGATGAGGTGTAGAGGGTTGGGTCGATGTTTGTATTGCGAAGGTTGCCCCTAGACCTGCATTCTTAAGAACCCTTAAACTACTACCCTTAACCCAAACGGACCCTGGACGTAAAGCCCGAAACGTCTCTAGCTGTTCCACCTTTTTTCGAGCGGAGGTGCGACCCTCGGTCCAGCTGCAACTTGGAGGGGGCGGGTATAGTAGGAAACTGAAGTTGATGTACAGGGTTTTTTGATGGCTTACCATGCGGGGTCAGCTAGAAAACCCTAAACCTTATAAACATTAAACTCGAAGTTGCTACTGATACAGCTGCAGCCCTAATTGATATTCTGGTGCCCCACTGTCACAAAGACAACCTCATCGCGAGCGTTCGACGTGCCGAGCACCGCCGAAAAGTTGATGAATGCCCAGAAGGACTTCAAGATCGCCGGGCTACAAGTTCCTCTGCTCTGACCGATTTGTTATCCGTATACATGGTACTCAATCAACATGTTTTCGCGACAACAACTTGTTATCAACTTTCACGCAGTTCAGGTTAAACACGCGCGCAAGTGGGTGCAGTACCTCGAGGCAAAGCTCGAGCAAAGAGGGATGGGGCTAAGACCACGAACGGAAAGTTGAGTGCCACGAAGCAGAAAGCAGACGAAGAAGAAACGGCGCCAGTGTCCGCCAGATGGGTGCAAAGCAGCCATGATCAAACGCGCCTCAAGCAAGGCCTGCTGAAAGAGGTCAGCGCCAAGAACCCCTCGACGTGCGAGTTTGGTCGCCGGTAGGCTTGGTCTCACCCAGCCGTAAGTCGCAAGTTTTCCAACAAACAACTCTTCGCTAGCGCCACTCGGGCAAGTCGCGTCCTGGCACGGTTTACATGGCCAGCCGGGCCCGACCCATTGGGATGGTGGTGGTGGCCACATCCCAACTGAAAGGCTGCTTTCCGAAAGATGTTTGGAACGTGTAGCCCAGCCCTGCATGAAAGCCTTAAGTCGACCTGCAGGTGTCTTCCCTTGCGTCAGCTGAATCGACTGCCTGGGGTGGCTGGGCGGAGGGCCTGCCCTTGTGACCACCCTCCTTCAGGATCAGCAGCCAGCCAGCGCATCACGCTGCCAAATGACTGACGTCGCTTGCGAGTGTCATGCAGCCCTGGACGCCGTCCCGTTCTGGGAGTCGCAAGGGTTCCAGGAGCTGGACTGCGCGAGTCCTGATGTGAAAAGTGCGTTGTCGTGCGTTTTGGATTTGGGAGTCATCGATTTTCGGGCGAGCTGTCGCCTTGAGTTTTGACGACCAACCGACGAAAGATTCGGTCGTCGCTGAAGTTTTTACCGGCACTGTTGGAAAGTCTTTTGGTGCTTGGGGTTTAGAATGCTGGGCCTCAGGGCTCACAGCAACGAGTAGTGATCGCAAGTGAAGCCACCGAAGAGTCAGAACCTTGCAGCTTTGGCTTTCACGCCGGAAGTGTAACGAAGACAAAACCTCTCATAATGCCATGAGAAATCCTGACTCGATCTCCCCTCGTCCGGACCTTTAGGAGGGTCTATTTGAATAACCCTCTGTGTTGCATTACTAAACAAAACCGTTTCTGTTTCCAGTGTTCAAGTGTTTCAAACACTTGAAGCACTTGAAGCGCTTTTCTCTCAGAGAAACCCGTTTCAAGGGTTTCAAAACACTTGAAACACTTGAAACGGTTTTCTCTGGGTTTTGTGGGGGGAGGTAACGCCGTTCAAGTGCGTTAAACACTTGAAACGCTTGAAGCGGTTTTTCTCTGGTATGCAGCACAGAGGTTTGCTCACATAGGCCTTGCAGGTCCCAGGTGCATAAACCCGAGAAACCCTAAAACCCCATAAACCCCATAAACCTTATAAACCCGATGGGCCGTGTTTGCCCCATAAACCCTGCACCCCCTATAAGCCCAAAAAAACCACCAAAAAAACAAACCAGACCCCATAAACCTATAAGCCCTATAAACCCTATAAGCCCTATAAATCCTAAACCCTCAACCCTTCATCCTAAACCCTCAACCTTTAAGCCCTAATCACCCTTGAACCCTAAACCCGAAACCCTAAACCCTAAACCCTTGTCTGGCCCAGGCCATTTGGAAAACCTGGATCCGAGGGCGCCGACACAGGCGGCACAGGCCAAGAGCAGGGTCACTCAAGCATGGGATGGGTTTAGGGCTTAGGGCTTAGGGCTCAGGGTCTAGGGCTTAGGGCTTAAGGCTTAGGCTTAGGAGCTATATAGGGTTTAGAGCTTACACCCTCAGCCCGAGAACCGCTGTGATGAAGATCTCGGGGAGTCTTGGTGGGGTTGCCCTCCTCCCTTCAGCTTACGGCCGCCTCTGTGGGCGAGGAGAAGTGTCTGCAGGGTGGTGTGGGGTTGGGGACGGCCGAGGGAACCCGATCCCTAAACCCGAAACTAGGAAGCCCGAAGGTGTTTGATGAGCTCTGGCATGATAC